AAACTTTGCCAATTTTAAACCGATCGGGCTGAGACTTTGCATGCATAAAGCTACTATGACATTCCCTAAGAAAGGATTTTGATAAATTCCACTCCTAAGGGGATAAATTAACGCAAGCGAAGCCGCGGGCAAAAGCTACTTATACATAAAAGGAGAGTAGGTACTAGGTAATGTGGCAGTTAATAGGGACTGGTGGAAGATGATATACTGCGACTTCAAATCTTACTAATATTATAGAAGCCGCGAGCAAAAGCTAGTATTGAATAAAACATAAGTATAAAATACGTAATATATAATAGATGCTATATATTAGCATTATTGTTGTCTGTATATCGCTAAGGCCGTTAGGTATTCAGGTTTCTAAACGAGAATCGCACTTCCCCGTTCTATAATTGCCTATTATGGCATACACTTACACGGAATTTACCTGATGCTATAGCAGACAGCGTTGTTACGTCTATAGTAAGAACTAGTGATGTGCCGGATCGGAAATATTTATATTCGCAGATACGGATAATTATAAAAAAAAAATTAAATACGGTTTCAAATCGTTACTACGTTCTTTTTAACTCACTTGGTAACCGTTAAACGGCAGCTGACCTATATAATGATTATAATGTTAGACAATTTACAAAGCGCCATCGAGTCCCAAGCTAGCACCATTCAATTATATTCCATTTAAATCCATACAAAAACACTAATAATCATATAAAAATGTGATGTTACAGAATATAAGACTAAGAAATTTTGTAAGGAGGTTGTAATTTCATAATCATGATCTGAGATTTCATGATTTTTACACAAATTCTTATTTCATTTGATCACTTTTTCGATTAATGATATTCCCAACATCTTGCTATACAATGTCACACTCCATCTCACCCCTCTAGGCCCGTCCCCAAATATATGACGCCATCTACCGCTATATGTATTCTAAAGTATACACCACACGTCCCTAAAGTCGTATCCGTCAGGCGAGAGTTGGCCTTTAGCTACTCTATAACTCCTTCCGCGGGTTTAGAGTGTCATCTGCACTTGCCCCCTATCGTCCGGTGAAACTGTAAAGGCGAGCTGCGGCTAACAGCGTTAGAGTAGTCCGAAAAAAAAACCGCCCCCCGCCCCTCCCCAAAAGTGTGACGTCATTTACTGATTGCCGCTATATGCATTCTAAAGTCTACACCACACGTCAACACTCCAAATACGGCTCGTGTTACTGGAATTTGCATTCGTCACATCTGCGAGAAAGAAACCTGTTTACCGTATAAATGGTATCAAACGGTGACGTAGGGATATATATACCTATGGGTTTTCCTGAGAGTAGATTACTTTTTTGGGAATGAACATGTCAAGGTGCACTGCTCGTGTTATGTTTTAATGTATTTTTTAAGAGTAAATACTTAGTTCACCAATCAACATTTAATCCAACAATTGCCGTCAAACAATTCAAATGCAAACTATCTTTATTCATGTAGATCCATTACAGACTATTATGATATAACAAATCTACTGTTAGTTCGGAATGATTCCGAGATGAGAAGAACTGACAAGAAACTCAGCTCGTATTCTTTTCAAATAAAAGTTGTACATGTTTACAATAATACAAATTAATTTACATTCAAATTTAGGAGAATAGAGTGATCACCAGCATATCAATATATCTTCAATCAAACAATCTTATTGACAATATAATCCTGACAATCTATATGAGAATGACAGATCCATAACTGACATATTACATAGACTATAAATATACAACAGACTGCTCTAACGGTGCACTTACTCTGGTGGTGTACCATTGGAGGATGATGGGATGAAAATGAAGTCAGGTCAACGGACCTGACTTCATTTTCATCCCACATCCCACATGTGGGCTAACGAGCCCACTATGATAAATATCCAGGTGGCTATATGGCCTGATAGGGTAAATTATTAGCAATTGGGTCAACAGTCACCACTAATCACTATAGAGAGTAGGGTGGAAAGTTAGTTACGTGGACTGATGATACGATTGCTAGCAATATACCACAAAAGGTTGACTCCAAGCGGTTTCCCCTGGAAACCACAAATACATCAAGAGTTTATCACGAATAAATTCCTGATGAATTTGTCACGATAGGCTAACTCATGTGTCTATCCCTATCATCCTCCACTGGTGCACCGCCAGCGTAAACCGTTAGAGCAGGTGGATGCACCATTCCATTATAATTCATTAAAAAAACTTTAGAGAGGAATTAGGAGTAAAAGAACAATAGACTTTGTTTTCATATTATGTCCTAAATCCTAAAACACTGCATTTAGTTAAATCGCCATCCAGCGCAAGCATCATTCTCGTTTGCAATTCTTAACTGCATAAAAATATGTTAATCGAAAAATTTGCAGAGTTTCGATTTGTTTCTTTGAGAAGGTAAACCGGTTTAATAAGAATCTGTCTGTACGTGAAATTCCGAAAACCGAGAACCGGTCTTATTTGGGAACTCATAAAAGTATTCCTTGTCTGTCTATGTTGTTAGTGATCCGTAATTAGATTTTACATGTGTGCTGTATCCGTTAGTTTATAAAATAGACGAGTATATTTTTAGGTAACTGGAAAGTCAAGTTGACGGTCTACCTGATGATAAAGATCAATCTTCTTCTTTCTATTCAACGGCAAATCTTATTACTAAATGTATTATTACCAGAAAGTTGACGGCTATAGCATTTGGGCGCATTTTTTAGGTCTTCCTTTGTGCAAGATGATGGGCACAAAGGAAGACCTAAAAATTGGAGAGTAGGTGGGCTATAAGTCTGGGATGGTACTCCGCAGTCGAACGAGCAACCATCGGAGAGCGAAAGACAGACAATATCAAATTTACACTCTCGGTAGAGGTTTAGGAAACCGCTTCATTGTCGCAGCGGGTTCGATTCCTCGCACGGTACAAACATTCGTTTTCATGAATATGATTGTATCTAATTTCACCAGTTTCAAATATATAAAGCAGTACAGATAGTAAACGCGTGCGTTATGCACTATTTGCTATTTTTTTTATCAAATTTCGTATTATTCGTATGCAGCGCTCTGATTAGAAAAACTAAAGCTGTAGGAAAGCAACAGTGTGCATCACAGGCTTATGGTTGAGTTTATTTAAATTCATGTGTATTGAAAAACGTCATTCGACATACTTGCGTATTTAACACACTCGGCTCTATTACGCCCTGTGTGTTATAACCATCATAACACACTTACATCGTAATATACCTATTGTGCATTCTCAATTGTTCAGAAATGGAAATGCATGATTCAAAAACGCTCGGCGTGACCATGAATAATTAAATAGAACTAACTTAGTTACCTACAGTATAATTAATAAATGACAAATAATTCAATCTATTATATGAACACGAACTGGCTTTGGCTCGTGCCTGCTTGCGGCTGCATTCTATGCATGATCTTCGTTTTTTTTCTCTTAATATGCATTGCATGACTATACTCGTTACTCGAGCTCTACCATTTGTAAGTTAGATGATTGCTTTGTATTAAACGAACATGATAAGATGAGCGGGGAGAGGTGATTAGTAATGCGGATTGTGTTAAACATCTGACAATGCTTCTAACTACCCCATCTCAAATTGTGGTTATAAATATATATTATTACTAGCTGTGCCCGCGACTTCGTCCGCGTGATCCAATTAAACAAAAAAAAAGTTTCAAGCTTCTAGCTTAAAAAAATGACGACACTTTCATACAACCTTGCATCTCCCCTTTCACCCTTACAACCCTTTTCTCACATTAACAAGTAGTCTATGTCCTATGTCCTTCCTCAGGGTATAGACTATCTGTGTACCAAATTTCATTTAAATCGGTTCAGTAGTTTTGGCGTGAAAGCGAGACAGACAGACAGACAGACAGAGTTACTTTCGCATTTATAATACTCGTAAGGATTTTCTGATGTGATTATGACCACTCTTACTGTGAAGCCGGGCTATTGGACTAAGCTTCTATTGATCAATTGCTTGGTGCAATGGTGAAACATATGCTGATAATGAAATGATCCATTTGTTTGAGCTAACGGTAACTGCTGGCTGGTGGAGCACAAAGGTACAGAACGGTATTTACATCAAAAATAATTTAATCTGTCTATCCGTTTGTTCTTACTAATCTCTGAAACGGCTGGACAGATTTAGAAGAAACTTTTACTCGCAGATAGCTAATGTAATAAGGAGTATTAGGCTACTTTTTATTTCAAACATTTTATTTTTTGTAATGTAAAAGGAGTCGAATTCCACGCGGACGAAGTGGCGGAGTAATATATATAAATAAAATTGGAGTGTCTATTTGTAATATTGAAATGTGATTTTTATTACATGCATATGAATATAAATACAGTACATAGACCAAAATAACATTTTTTACAATATTTGTCTGTCTGTTCCGGCTAATCTCTGATATGGCTGGACCTATTTTTCCGGGACTTTTTTTGGCAGGTAACTGATGTAATAAGGAGTAACGTAAGCTACTTTTATTTTAGAAAAATAAAGTTAAATTCCACGCGGACGGAGTCGCGGGAACAGCTAGTATGAAATAAGAAGTGCCAGATGCAAACAATCATCAGTAACATGGTATAACGATAACCTTTTTGGGAGAGTGCAAAGGACAATGGAAAAATTCAAAACTTGTGACTGAATAAATCATTTATTTGATTTGGTTGTTGTTAAATTATACAAATATCTACCATTACACACATTACTCATGTGTCCTTGAATTATTTAATACTAGCGACCCGTCCGATACAGTTACATATCTTTGAATTTCTAGGCTTGTTCTATACTAGAACACCCATGTATTATACACATAAACCTTCCTCTTAAATCACTCTATCTATTGCTGAAAACTGCATTAAAATCCGTTGCGTAATTTAAAAGATTAGGGAACAGATAGCGACGACGGCTTAGTTTTTAACTATAGATATACATGCAAATTTGCACAGACTAACGTACTTCTTAAATCTACTTTCAAAACTTACCGATTCATTAGACCTTTTGCTATTTCCTATCGAATGTGTTTCTCGATTGCCATCAGATTTCGGTTTATTCGGCGTTCCAAACACCATCTCCATGATTGCTGGATCCACTTTTATGTTATTTTTATTATCTCTTTCAATATTTAAAACTATATCGTTGTGCGACATTTTACTTTAAAACTAAACAACAGTAAGGTTATATTTTTTTTTAATTCAATACTTGTTAATTACACTTGATAAATCGTAAAGTTAATATTATTACGATCACTTAATTGAAATACGTGCTCACACGTTCGCGCCGTTTTATGTACTAACCTAACTTCACTAAACAACTCTGAGGCTGAGCGCCAAGATCCAATTGTCACCTTATGACAAGCAACGGGTTCGGAGTTTCTATAGCATTTAACGTGAAGTTATGACTCATTTAACCTCATGAATAATGATATAATTATATATAAATTGTAAGGGAAACCACTATCATCCTATGAATTACTGTTCAGCCCGTGATAGTACCTACTGAATCATTTCAGCTTCTTTGTATGAATATGAGGTGTTTCTCGTATATTTAACTAGCTATAGGGTATAGGTACCTACATATATTATACATAGAAACTTTCCTCTTGAAATATGCTTATATTAAAATCTGTTGCCTAGTTTAAAATATCGAACAGACAGCAGAAACGATCAATTTGTTCCTATATAAAGATAATAATATTAGTATCTCTGCACTTATGAATACAAATGTTTGTACCGTGCGAGGAATCGAACCCGCGACCATCGGTAGTAAAGCTGTGTGCTAAACCGCTAGATCGCCGAGGTAACTAACACGCTATGGCTGTGTGACATACACCTGTACCTTTTGCCTGTACTGCTACATGAAGAAACTCTATTTTATTAATGGATATTGGAATAGTGCACCCGCCTGCGCTAACGGTTTACACGGCGGGGCACCAGTAAGATGTCGTAATTTCGATCCCTGTTTGAATTGGGGGATCGATCGGAGGGTACCTAAAATTAAGCCAAGTCATTCTCAACGCGATCTCTTTCAAAAAAGCATTGGGCTATTCAGTAGAAACAAGAGGACAAGACGCTTCCAAAATAAATAAATCTTTATCTATCATCACCAGGATTTCAAAAATTTGAAGGATTTGAAAACATAAATCGAAATCCTGGTGATGAAGAAATAGAAATAATTATTCAAATAAACTTAATATAAACACTTTTAATATTTTGTTATTCTACCATTCGAAACGCAGAATCATTACAAGAAGAACGAGGTAGAAACTTGCGATGAATGAGGTAGAAACTCATTTAAATAAATGTTTTGCATTACAGAATTACATTTTTACGATTTTTGTACGAATAGTAACTGTCAAATAGCATCGTTGACATAAATAATTGAATAGTAGTTACTTGAGTAAAAGAAACGTTGAAGAAAATAATTATTAAGTAGGTAAATCAATACGTTAGTTGCATGACTATTATTGTTAGTGAAAAATTTAAAGCCCATTGCCAAGCCGGACTTTAAGTTAATTTATTTTGAACTAGCTGTACCCGCGACTTCGTCCGTATGGAATTTAACTTTATTTTCTAAAATATAAGTAGCGTAAGTTACTTCTAATTACATCAGCTAAAAAGTCCCGTCAAAACCGGTCCAGCCATTTCAGAGATTAGCCGGAACAATCAGACAGACAGACAACAGTTGTAAAAAATGTTATTTTGGTGTATGTACCGTATTTATATTCATATGCGTGTATTAAAAAACGATTATTTCAATATTACAAACAGACACTCAAATTTTCTTTATATGTATAAGTAGCCATTATCCGATATTTCGTCCTCTGGAATTTGACTTTGACGTTCGGACCCCTAGCGGTGCCCGCAAACTAAAGTCGTATCCGTCAGGCGGGAGTTGGCCTTTAGCCGCTCCATAGATCCTTCCGTGGGTTTGGAGTCCCATCTGCACTCGCCTCCTATAATGAAGTTGTAACCAACAGAATTAGTGTAGTCCAAAAAAAGATAACTAAAGTTACTATCTACTACTACTAAACTACCACTATATATATATAGTACTTGCAACAATTTGTGGAGTATAAAAATATATATGTTCCCTAAATGCTGCACTGTTTGCTCGGCTTGAAAATATATAGGTCCACAACTAATAACCCACTTAAAATAATTATATCTGTAGAGCAAATAAAAACTCTTTAATTGTTTGAAATGCATGCAATGCGTTTCTATTTTTTCTGAACTAAAAACTAAACTTTGCATTTTAGTTCGTAATTCAGGAATGTTTAATGGCATATAACATTCTCATTATCTCATATAATTACCGAAGTATATCTATACTATACTAATATTATAAAACTGAAGAGTTTGTTTGAACAAGCTAATCTTAGGAACGACTGGTTCGAATTGAAAAATTCGTTTTGTTAGATAGTCTTAAAGGTTTTAAGCTATATAACATTAAGCTACGACCAATAGGAGCGGAGCTGCAATGAAAAATATTGAAAAAGTGGGGAAATTAAACGAAGACGAAGTTGCACGTGTCAGCTAGTGTAGTATATATATCGCTCGCCATGTAAATGAATTCATCTCTACACACTGGAACCTAAGTAGTATCGGACAGTGGTTTCAGATGAGCTTCCTCATGTCTACAATTACATTGTGGAATGGACTACCTGCCGAGGTTTTCTCAAGAGACTACAGCATGGGGTTTTTTAAAAAGAGTATATTAAAGTTTCAGGCGTCCATATTTTACGGTGACCGTTTATCATCACATGTGCCATATGCTTGTTTGCCACCATCCTAGAATAAAAAAAATATAACTTGTAAAAAGTGATAGTGAAATTGCTTTTAAACTGAAAAGGTTATTTAATTCAGCGAATTTTCTTTACATTATAGTTTACAACCTATAATTAAATTTCGACAATGATTTTGTTAACAATAACAAGAAAGCCAATTTAAGACTGTTTATAGGTAGGTCTTTATTTTATGAGCTGAGAATGAGAACACCTGCACTTAAAACAATAATTTTTTTTTTTACAATAATATACCTTTGCAATTTTTCATTAACTTTTGCACTATTTATCAAATCTTGTTGATACAAAATGATTAGATTCGTAAATAAGACTAGCTCAAATAGAAGAAATAGGAAAAAAAGGCAATAAATTCTTATTGGGCTTGTCTTTCTTCTCTTATAAATAATACATATATAGTAGCTGTGAACGCGGTTTTACCCGTGTAAAACTTATAGCATATGAATTATTCTGATTATTATTATAGCCTTTATTCAGATCCAACTTATACATTATTTTAAAACAAACATAAATCTTTAAAACTTAAAACGAAATAATTCTTCTATTATTTGGATCTTTTTTAATGTCTGTAGATCTGTTTGCCAATCGGCAAAGGCCTCCTCCAATCGTTTCCATTCTTCTCTTTCTCGTGCCACTCTGTTCCACATCACTCCTGCCACTGTCCTAATATCATCATCCCATCTTGTGTGGGGTCTGCCTCTTTTCCTTTTCCCTTCCCTGGGATATCATCTTGTCACTTTCTTACTCCATTTATCATATCCTCTTATTCTGATATATAAGCTATATTATTGTAAAGTTTTGTTAAAATCCATTGGGATTGTTTATACTGTGGACTGATTGCTAGCTTACACTACACCACTACATTGCTAGCAATGTACCATGTCACGTTGAATTCCACGTGGTTCCTGGAAACCAGTGATGAAATCCTGGTAGACCTGACTTCATGGTCATCTTATCATCCACTGGTGTCCCGCCAGCGTAAACCGTTAGCACAGGCGGGTGCACCATTCCATTCATAAAACACTTACCTCTCACATACACAGTATTTGACTAGGGATAACTATTTTTGGCATATATTTAAGTCTAAGGTGAGTCCAGTGCGAATAAGACTTACTGCATATTTAATCAGAGTCGAAGCGAAGCAACACGTCATTAAACTTTATAAGTATATTCATTTTCTATCTATATATATATATTTTATTGTATCATTACATAGTATAAAACAAAGTCGCTGTTGCTGTCTGTCCGTCCCTATGTATGCCTAAATCTTTAAAACGACGCGACAGATTTTGATGCGGTTTTTCAAATAGATAGAGTGATTCTAGAGGAAGGTTTATATGTATAATATATGTACACCCGGGCGAAGCCAGGGCGAGTAATTGTTAAATAAAGTAATAAACTGACATTAAAAAAAGAAATTCAGTTGATTACTTGCTAGTACCTCTCAATTGGACCTGTAGACTGAACTGCCATTCAGGTAGGGAAATATAATATTAACACGCAAGCTTCTTGCTAGTTCTTCTTATAATGAGACAGAAAAGCTGTCTCATTATAAGAGGTAGTGTAGAGGTAGTGGTAGTGAGCGGTAGATTAAAAGATTTACTATGACTATTAAAAAGTCAAAAGGTTAAATTTATTTGAATAAAGAATTTTCTGTTCTATTAATACAAAAAACTTCACGTTTACAAGCGGCTAAAATGTCTACATGAATAATTGATTTTTGATTTAATTTGTAAAAAGTACACTTTGTAAATAGACGTCTGTGTGGGTACATCAGTCTTACCTTTTTCTACCGCCAAACAGCCTGCTTTATAAGACGATTCTTATCAAGAATGGAGATCACGCAATGAAATTACAGGATATCTAGGTATAACATACAATATTGAGGTACCACGGGCACCACATGGTAATGTGATGTCCGTGGTACTGTTGATATAAGTACATACTAGCTGACCCGTGCAATTTCGTTGGCGTCACACTTGCTTGATATTTATCATTATATTTCTCCCAATTTACATAATCATCATTGCCTTGCCTTTATCCCATTATTTGGGGTCGGCGCAGTATGTCATTCTCTTCCACTGCTCTCTATCGGTCGTCATATCTGAACATACTCTTCTTTTATTCATATCATCTTTCACACAATCTATCCATCTTTTCTTAGGGCGTCCCCTCCCTTTACATCCATCCATAATATCTTTTTAAATTATAGCACATGTGTTATTCTAATGTATAAGTTATATTACTGTAAAGTTTCATCAAAATCTCTTCAGTAGTTTTTGCGTGTAACAGTAACAAACACCCGTCCATACCCACAAACTATCGCGTTTATAATATTAAGATGTGACATTTACCTCTTGCCATCAGATGGAGATTATTTACTATATCAATAACATAAAAAATACACTAAAATATTTGACATTAGAAATAGAAATCTACAGTATTAGCGAGTAACAATTTATTTTCCAAAAGATGAGATCCTTACATTAATGGCACTTAAAAAGCCGGGTCAACACGTAACAAATTAACTAACAGGTAAGAAGAAATTTATCATAATTTTAGATGCGCCAATCCAGGGCATTTCACTAGTTAATTTTAACACTCGCTCTGGACACACCTTATATATACATGACTAATATAATTATTACAACCAAAAAACATACATAATATTTTGTACCTATCAAAAGTAACAAAACACGTTCGAAGTGTATAAAGATTTTTCTATAAAGGTTTAGTCGTTATATCAAACCGAACGTTCAAGTATGAAAAGAAGGCATGAAGAAGATATAAATACTAATGACACTGAAGCACTTTCCTAAACAAACATAAAGTCCAACTAAAAATAAATTTCAAACCTTTCATACTATATTCAGCATTTGTCAGTTCATTAAATTATTTATTTTTGACAAAGTAATAATAATGATACACTAGGGCAATTCACACAATGCCATCCCGAATGTGAATTGCCAATTGCCAATTGCCAAGGTAAGCAGAGTTTGTGTAGTGTTATGGGTTTTAAACAACAGATTTTTTTATTTAGTTTCTTCAATAATTACATGTTTTCGACTTGTCTTTATCCTTTACGACCAAACCTGTATAAAAAATCATTAAACTATTCATGATTATTATAAATCTAGAAAAATTATACAAAACAAATATTAGTATGTAGTATTAATATAATTAAATGATAATATTAACATATGCTTCTCTAAAATTAAGCCTTTACGTAACGATTATTTAAACATGGAGTTTTTTTTTTCCTTTGGATATTTCTACGAAAGCATTATTTTATTCATAATAATAATGACAGAGGGTGAAGGGAATTGTTAGTAATGTGGACTAAAATCCCCTTTGCTAGCAATGTACCACATCAGGTTGAAATCCGCGGTACTCATGAAACCATCGTGGTAAATTCCTGGTGAATTTATCACGATGGGCTAACTGACCTGACCTCATGTTAATTTTATCATCCTCCTCTTGTGCCCCTTCAGCGTAAACCGTTAGCGCAGGCGGGTACACCATTCTATTATCATTCATAAAAAATAAGACTGAAATCAGTTAAACTAAATTTAAATTATTCGGTATTTTTAACGATTTTTTTATCAATCATAAAAAATAAGATAGATAGGAACCAACTAAACTAAATACAAAATTTTAAAGCATTATCATTTATTTAAATTTGTAGATAAATAACAAGTTAAAAAAAATCGCTCCAACGAGTTGGTTTATATGCACGTGTCTTTTATTTTATCATATACGGAGGGTAACAGAAAAGGTATATAATAATTTCAATTCCAGCTAGATTTTCCATCAATTTCTATTACAGCTGCCACAAGTATATAAAAAAAATTCAGATGTAAACTATTTTTTTAACTCGCCATATAAACTATGTCACGTGATCGAATTGGTATAATAGATAAAAAAAAACTTTCCCTGAATTAGGAAATCCAGAATGTCGTATTCTATTCCGCTAAAAAAATAACAATGACTATTGAAGAAAAAAAAATGCTTACGTTAAGTTTATTTGAATATGATATAACAATATTGACGGTAAGGAAAAATATATTAATTACAAAAAACTACGTTCATAAGCGGCTAAAATGTGCTATATGAATAAATGATTTCTGATTTGGAATGAATATCATTTCTACATCTAATAATAAATAAAACTTAGTAAGATTTATAATGATAATTGTGATTTTGTTATTTTTACGTGTAAATAATGACCGCGCCAAATTTAAATAACTATAAATTTCAATTCTATTCATATTACAATAGAGCTAAAATTCAGTTATTACACTCCTCTTATACCTTTTCAGTTACAGCCTATATATTATAAAGCAACGTTGTACATATCAGATCTCGATCCAAATGATACTGTTTGTAATTTTGACAATTTGTTTCTTAACCCTTCGAACGTTTTCACAGATCTGTGCACCCATCTTAAACCGGATTACCGTCTAGTCACAGATCTGTGCAAGACCGTGATTTCTTTTTAAACAATTTTATCCTTATATAAAACACAATAAGATTGAAATAATACAGCTGGCGCGCGCATACCGACTAATCACTTTCGGTCGCTGCAACAGACGACGGACATTCGAAAGGTTAATAATATTTAATAATAACTAGGTAATTCAACAATATAACAAATAAAACACATTGTGCGATTTGTTCTCGTTTCAGTCTGCTCGACGTTCATGATTCACTTTCCTGTAAAATAAAAATAAACATCACTGTTTGCTGGAGGAATATTGCAATGTTTAATTTGTTTTAATAGTAATAAATAAACTATTTAGAATATATTGTACGTTGATTTTAATAATGACGCCACGGAATGTTCGAGAAGGAGTGCAAAATTGTATATAAAATAACATCGATATTCTGTGCTTGACGTTCTAAATTTGAAATTTTAAAATTTTATTCTTAAATATATTAAAGGGCTATTTGTGATCGCAAACAATCACTTCATACGTATTTTTACAGCGCATTAAGTGAAACCTGCGGTGCTGTCTGAGTGATTGGATAAAATATTAAAATAGGAACTAACATGTTTACGTGTTAAATGAAGATTATCTATATCTATAGAAGAAATTATATTTTATATTGTACCAGGATTTTATCTATCTCATCTACACATATAAATTAAATTGATGGATATCATTACTTTTTGTACATAAATTATACGTTTTTTACTATTTTAACTAAATTAATATTAAATATTTTCTTATATTTACGGGGTATAATTGTCTTTTTTTGTGTTACAATATTTTCTTGTAACTTTTAAATGTTTTTTTTAAATAACGTCCACAGATGATTGTACTCTATTTATGAATGGATCAAAATTGTTACTATTTTACACCTAAACAAATTTTTTTACCTGCTTTATTAAATATAGATCTCTGAAATGGCTAAGGACCGATTTTGACGGGATTGTTTTTTTATACATTATTTAATAGCTGATAGGAATAAGGAGTAACTTAGGCTACTTTTATTCTAGAAAAATAAAAATTCCACTCGGAAGAAGTCGCGACGTATTTACTAAAATAATGTAATAATAATATAATCACAAATATATAAGTATAATTTAGAAAACATAAATCAGTAGCATAAATCGCAACCTTATAGAAGATATCCAGAAACAAAACAATCGAAAGAGATGAGGAGAGTAACACCGTACTCATGAATGTATTATTTAATAATTATTTATAAAAATAATGTTTTAGTGAAATATTGAAAAATCGAATACCCGCTAATAAATACCATCGGAAGTAAAGCAGTGTGCCAAACCGCTAGACCACCGAGGCCGTCATAGTAGCAATACATAAGAAATATCATGATGTTCATGTAAAAAACATTTACCTATATAATTACTGGAGATTTTCAATATCCTCTTCGAACAGCCGCTTACCGCCTTTCAAAATTTTCTCCTCGGCATTACCATGTTTATCTTCACTCATGAACCAAATTTGACAGGTTTGTGTGAAAGAGTTTTTGAGTTATGAGGGGGTCTAGTCTTATTAACCACTGCGCCCAATGTTCCCTCAACTTATCCGTTGGCAGGTGATACGCATCTGCTTTGGAACCGTCTGTGTACGCTATAACCAGTAGTGCATCTCGTACATTCAAATGTTTGTAGTTCAGATCGTTGCACACTGCTCCGAAGTAGGCTGCAAGTTGTACAGGGTTGTCGTAGGTCAGTGATATTGATTTGCGTGGTTTATCAGATTTCTTCCATTCGATCAGCGTTGGTTTGTCTCTGTAAGGTGATAAAATAATGATAATAATTTTTATTTTACAATTTAAATTGTTCCCTACCTATTAACTACGTAGAAACATTAAGTAGAAACTTGTATAGGTATTTAAAAAAAAAATTAAAAAGATCATTATATTTTCGTTTTCGACCGACCGACAGCGACAGAGACGCTGGTAATCAAATAAAATCAAAAATAATTTATTAATGTTATATGCTTATGAATATAAGCGGCTAAAATGTCCAGTTTTTTGTGTAAATATTTTTCCCTACCGACTAGCCTACCGGAAGATGAAATAAAGCAGGCCAAAATAGTGTACACTGGAAAGAGTTAGAGGAGGTAACCAGACCACTGAGGCAGTCGAAATATATGAAAATAAAAGTAATATATATGTAAAGGATAAAAACTTTTCCATCCTCCAAGATGGTGAGAGGGTTGTTTAGTGTTTAGGGGTTTTTGGTGTTATTGTTGGATAATTTCGTTGTAATTGGATATTCGGATCGACACTGGAAAATATACCGGTTAACTTTTTACTAGTCACTAGAAAGACAAACGGAAGAACTTGCGGACGATAATTTTTTTCGTACTATTCCAATGCTGTTGGTCGCAGCTGGACTTTTCAGCTTCACTGAACGATAGGGGGCGAGTGCAGATGGCACTCCAAACCCGTGGACTTATGGAGCGGCTGAAGGCCAGCTCCTGCCTCTGCCTGGCGGATACGATAGGTGGTCGGACCACGGCTCATACTGTCGTAATTTCGATCGTTTCAATTAGACGTTCGGAGGAAACCTGATGGTATATTCCAACCGACGCTTAGATACGTGAATAACAAGTCCATCACATCATCATGTGAAAACAATTCATTCATTACCGTTCCGGGGGACGAAGGATGTTATACCTCCATACCCTATCTGACCCTAATTTCATCGCCACATCTGACCCTATGATACCAAAACAGTTTACAAAGCAAGCTGCTTGACTGAAATAATGGTTGACGTAGTCGTCTTAGTACAAAGCCTAGTCTATTTCGATAATAAAAAGTTACAACTATTTTCTCAAATAGCCAGATGGTCATCTGAACAGTGGCGGCCTTAGGGGGTGGCGAACAAGGCAATCGCCCGGGTCTCGCAAATTCAAAAAGCAAATTAAAAAAACTGGTGTTTTTTTTTAATTTGCTTTTTGAATTTGCCCTGCCTTTGCCCTTAGCCTTTCTGGCAGTGGAAAGTTGCAAAAACTACCCAATTTAAGCATTAAATCGCAAATAAACAAATTTACCAACACTACTATATATAAAACAAATTAAACAAGATGTAAAATAACTATGCCTATGAAAACTAAGAAAGCTATGTCTAGTTTTCTTAAATCAGCGGAAATTTTCTGCATAATATAACTAGTTCGCATCACATACTTTTCACGTAGGACAAAGAGTCTCACAAAGCCCGAAGCCTCGCAATGGGTAAGGTCGCCGTTGTCTGAACACCTTACCTAAATGCTGTTACTGTGCAATATAATGACATGTAGGATTAAGTAAACAAAACAGATATATTTATATAGAATTAACCTTGGAGCTATATTAGTTTTAATAAACAAATGATGACGATAATGACCTCAGTATAATGAATGAACCCAGTGATAGTGTATTTCAGGATAATCATAACAATTCATAAAATCACGATCAGATAATGGTAAAAACATATCCGAACGAGTAACGCCGTACAGTTTAAATAGTACAGAATGTTGGGAGCGTAGACGGTAGGTTGACGGTAAATATTAATAACACCTTCCTTGCGATGAGACTAGAGTTGCCAGATTTTTTTTTCAGCCTATAAGGGGGCAAACGCTTAAATAGGCAAAAAATACGCCCGGGACAAATTATCCAAAGACATTGTCTGGCGTAGATCGATCGATTTAACAGTAAAAAACGGAGCACGATTCGAATACGGGACAGAGTCAGTCCCGTCGGGACATTTTAAACTAAGCCTAAAATACGGGACGTCCCGGGAAATACGGAACCAGACGTTCCGCAACGCTAGATGAGACAGTTTTTCGAATGAGCGGTAGATTAAAAAATGTGACTATTCAGAAGTGCTTAAATGTAAGTTTATTTGAATAAAGAATTTTCTATTCCATTCGGGTCAAATCAATGTACAATTTGGTAGTAATAAAGCAGCCGTAATTCTCTCATTGTTTAACAGTATTTATTATATGCGGTACTCAAATTATAAACTTATTAAATATAATAAAGATTGTGTATCACACATCTCATTAGTCCTTCGAGCCGGAGTATAACAAAATTAAAACATAACATATAATAAAATCGTGACAAGTGACAATTGTCTGTTTCGGTATTACGGTAAAAGTATGTTTTAGTAAAATGGCTGGTATAATGAAGTTGAAGTTTCCATAAAATATGTTGTTAAATACATAGACTAAAGTAAACGCAGGAAACCCCTTAAAGAGTGATGCGTATTATTTTCGTGAATAGTTTTCAATCCAGCACCACCTACAGTTTATTTATAACTAGATGTACCCGCGGTTTCACACGCGTTAAATTTCAATATAAAATATAGCCTAAGTGTTATTCTGATGCATAAGCTATATTACTGTAAAGTTTCATCAAAATCCATTCAGTAGTTTTTTAACAAACATTCATACTCACAAATTTTCGCGTTTATAGTATTATTAAGATTAAGATATAATTGGCGCCATATAGACGTTTTATTTATTGTTGTTGTTTGATTATTGCTATCTATAGATATTATTATCAACAAATGCGTATGAAGTCGCAAAAATAGAATTGAAATGATATGCTGTGGCAGTTCCTTATTATGGTCCAATGTAGGTCTGTATAAGATATTATATATATACCACATACCACTACTATACCACAGTGGGTGAGTGAACAGATTCCAAAGTTAGGACTTTGTAATTGGAACGGCAAAAAAAGCTGATGTCCTAACTGATGGTAATCTGTGGTAGCCATAGGACTTTTTATACTTTTAGAGTAGAGTTAGAGTAACCACGCCTTCTTATAGTCTGCCTCTGGAAGTTTATACCAAATAAGTCTCCAGGAATGGCATCGCACGGTACCACAACTACCGTAACTACAGACTTGAATGGCACCACTGCCATAATTAAGTGATGACGTGATGGCAATGGTGCTATTCAAGTCTGTAGGCGTCTATTGACCCTTTCCATTAGTTGGGCAGTCGGATTGTTAGCCATTCTAAGTGCATAAAAAAAGAAGGCTGCCAATTACGTGAGCATTGAGCGACATCTTGTCATCTTCAGATTAGATGGTAGATTAGGCTAAATCTGTAATTATGACAAAGATATCGCCCTCCCTCAACCCCTCTTCTGCATTGACGTCTGATTGAACCTCTGTTATGTCTAGGTTTAAAGATAAGATTACAGATTTTGTAAACAAACAAAGAAATTACATATTGACTGTAAAATGACAATATGAGTGAAGAATTGGTAAACACACCACAAGCACTGCATGTTACACAAGATAGTGAGCTTGTTGATTACAAAACACCATAATGGCTAGTAAACTAATAATTATGACCTTAGACAATTCACTGAACGCCATCTAGTACAAGCTAATCAGAACTATCAATATACTTTTATTTCAAGTATGTTCATAACATACACAGAAAACAGTGGAACCAATACGAACAATCATACTCATAAATACAAATGTTTGTAACATGCAATGAATCTAAACCACTACCATCTGTTAGAGATTAAAACCTCCTTGTTAATATTTTTTTATAGCCATATACTTTTAAATGTTCCTGTCACTGTTCTTCTTTTGTTTTTTCATTGCATTTGATCTTTTCACAATATATGGAAGCAAATTAATTTCATTTATCCACAATTACCTAGTTTTATTACAATCACCATAATAACCAACTGAGAAATCTGAGTATTATGGATTCAACACCATCAGAAACAAAGTGCAGTGCTACACTACTAGACCACAAAGACCTTCAATTATATGTATAACATTTTTACTTGAGTTTATCCATTACAAATACATCAAATAATTTTTTTTATTTCAGTTTCTGAGAGGGAAAGGAATTGTTAGTAATGGTTGCATTGCTAACAATTTACCATGTCGACCTCCATGCAGTCCTTCTTGGAACCATCATGGTTAATTCTTTGTGAATTCATCATGATGGGCTAACTGATCTAACTTCATGTTCATCCTATCATCCTTCATTGGAGCCCCGCCAGTGTAAACCATTAGCACAGGCAGGTGCATAATTTCATTATCATCCATAAAAAAATAAAAAATATCAGTTTCTTTGGCATTCTAATAAAATATAAAAAAGTTTAGAAAATCTACTTACTCATAATCTGCAATAGCATCAAATATGCCTCTATACTTCAACACTGGATGGACAACATTGGACTCTATTGCTTTAGGTGATGATATACTTTTGAGTAATTCTGATACTGAGACCCACACTCCTTCCACTTCCTTGTCAATACGAAGCTGTGCTTGTGGCTGTGTGAAGTAGTTCTTGAGGGTACTATGGAATTTGGTACCAACTGCCATTTGAGCTGTTAACACAAGACAAGTTAAATTAGTGCCCTTCAAGTTAAGTTGAAGGGCTCTCTAAAGATATGGTGATCTCAAGAAACATTGATTGATTTCCTAGTAGGAAGTAAGATTTTGCAAAGTAATATCTTAAAGGGCAATATGGAAGATATTGCTTTTCAGTATTAAGACAGCCTATTGTTGCCTCTTTGTCTTGCTCATAGTTTGTTTATACATATTTATATATTTATACATAATAGTGTATGTAAATGTTTGATTTTTCTGTGAGAAGAAATAATGAGAAAGAATTAAGAAATAAGTTTTTTTTTTCCTTTTCTTTCCATCTGGCTAGTCAAGGGACCACAGACAATTTGTTATTCAAATATTTTTTTTAAGTACAATGATTACTTTAATAAAATTTATATACATGATACAAGACTATTATTTTTGGTTTTCGGATACATTTTGTGCTTTCAAACCTATTGATATTTATTATAAATTAGTTATGATTTACAGTTTGTTGTGTCCATCCAATTGCAAAGCTAAGTATGTGTGTAAGTTTCATACAATTTAGTTATTTTTTTATAAAATGTTAGAGTAAATTAAAATAATACCTTCATAAAATTTGTTGAATGCATCTAATCCCATTTCCGCTATTCTCTCCTGCTTCCATTTTTCTAGAGCTGTTCTAGATTCTTCAGTCATTGTTTTATTCAATATCAGAGTAACGGAGGGATACTGTTTGGCAAAGTCATTCTTATGGGGCTTGATTTGAAGAATTCCATCGTCACTCGCATATCCAGGTTGAGCTGGAGAACTGGCCGCATGAGCTGATGCAAATGTTTTAATCCCTCGCACAACAGTATTATTCAACAAGAGCCCAGCAAAGTTCAGAGAACATTTCGAATTTTGAAACATTTTATTTTTAAAAGCTTCAACAAAACCGGCCGGATTAGATTTTTTAGCAACTAAAAAATTGGCTTTGTCCACTGCATTCTCCACAGATACTACACACTTTGTATTTGTAGTAGTCGCGTCGTTGTTTTGATGTGAAATTTTATTTTTAGCTGAAACAAAGATAACAAATAGTGTTATGTATATACGTAGTTACATTACATCATACGGCGCCAACTTGTCATATGATTATAATTGGCAACGTATACAACACGGGTTTGCTAATTAACTGCGAATAAAACGTAAAATTTATTAAAAAAAATATGTTGTTCGCCTACCTACGCAATTAGAAATAGAACTATTTCACCGCGACGGTATCCAAGTGAATTTATGTATACGCAATACGGTCAAAACCTATTAAGAATCCAATAAGTAATTAATAAATATAAACATAATTAATGAACACATAATAATAATCTTATCATGTTATTTCTCACATCGATTGTCAATTGATTAATTCGATTATAAGTGCACTTAGCAAAGGATACCAAAATCTTGCAATTACATTGGACATTGACAATTTAGCGTTTCAGCTTTCAAGTATAGAGATGGAGACTTACAATTGCTATTAATATCACTTTTCTGCCGCTGTTTCCTTTGTTTGTTCGTTTCCAATAAAGGGCCGAATAGTTCTTTATTTTCTTTGTGATATAATTTTATTTTTTCAGCCGGTTTCAAAATTGTCGCCGGACGAACCACTTTATTTCGAACAATTTGCTTTTTATAACTCTCAAATGATATTTGTCTACCGACCGAAGAAATCGGTCGAAACATTATGAATTTGCGAGATTTTATTACAATTTGTAAATATTACAAGTATTTAAAAATAATCCGAAGATTATTAAATGAATGGAATAGAGTGTAACGTAATGTTGCCAACTCTAAAAGATCAAGGTACCTTATTAAATCTAATTCAGAAATTAATTTCAGACCTACGAACAATGTATTATTAGTTTCATAAAATTAGCCCTGTATGTCTAAAAAGTATGGCCATTATAGACAAAATAAAATGTCTGTTCAAATTATTGAAGTACCAAAACGTGAGAACAACACCTACTTCATTTCCTTAATTTGTATATTGAATTGTTATGAATTCGAACGTTGAATTGTCATTTTTAGTAATATTACATATGAATGTGGATGGTTATATGAGCAGATGAAGTCGGAAAAGAGATGAATGGACTGTGTGTGAGAAAGATGATATGGCAAGAATGAGAGTGAATAAGGAAATGACTGCGAATGAAAGGCAGGTATGAATGGAAGAGAAAAACATTTTAAGCCAACCACAAATGAATGGATAAGTGAGTGTAGTTGTCAAAATCTATAAATCTCTGTGGTCGGAAAAGCGCGGGAACTTTCAAAGCGACTACACGTATTTTTTCGCGCTAGTTTTGGAAAATTATATTTTATTGAGTTTTTTTTAGTCAAAACTAGTAAAGATGACGAAGAGGAGCGGGAAGAAGCGAAAAAAGAAGGAGGAAATATCGGATGATACATCCGATGATATTAATTTTCTAGGGTCTGACTCGGAATCGGCACCTGAGGATGCGGATAAGTATAAGGCATTTCAAATACCAGATTATGTTCGGTACTATCCTGAGGATGGTGGAAACTTTGAATACATTGTATTTATGGAGAGTACAGATAGTAATAAGCCAATCGGTGATAGGGATATGATGTCCTTAGCTACTAATTTGAAAAAATACAATAAAGGAGTTAAGCAATTATTAAGGATGAATAAATTTAAGATCGGCGTCATTTTTGAACGCCCCGGTTTAGCTAATGCAGCCTTAGTTAATAAAAAAATTCTAGACGGATTTAAATTAAAGGCAAGTATACCAGCTTCAGCCACGGAAGTAACTGGAGTAGTTCAGCATGTTCCTACGCATCTATCGAACGAACAAATATACTCTAATATAACCAGCTCAAAAAATATTGTTTGTGTACGCAGATTCATGAGGCGTATTAAAGGTGATGATAACACCTTTACAATGCAGCCGACTAAAACTGTCTCCATCACATTTTCCTGTCCTGTACTTCCTGACACCGTTGACCTGAATAGCTGGCGCTTTGTGGTGAGGCCTTATATTCCTCCTGTAAAGCAGTGTCTTAAATGTTTAAGGTATGGTCATATCGCTAAGTTCTGTAAGAACGCTGAAAGATGCTCAGTATGCGGAAATAATCATAATTTCAAAAATTGTTCCGCAAATATTAACGAAGCCAAATGTTGTCACTGCAATGGTAATCATATAGCCATTTCATCACAGTGTCCTATTAAGAAAAAGAAAATAGAGGAGAATAAAAATAAAGTACAAAGTTATGCTGATATTGTTAGAGAGAAATCATTTCCTCAATTAGGCAGTCTCAAAACTTCACCTTCGGCACAATTTATATCCCTACTTAATTCTGACCAAATTTTAAATACCCTATTAGAATCAATTGTTAAAATTATAACATTGAATAGAACCAATGACAAAACAATATGTACAGAAAATATAAAACAAGTTCTCCTAGAGACATTACAGAATAAAAATAACCCAGATTAATCCTTTCTTTAATTTTTTATTTTTTATGGACCGTATAGTAATAGTCCAGTGGAATGCACAAAGTTTAGTAAGTAATCAACAAATCTTTACACATTTTCTATCGGAGAACAATATTCATATTGCTCTGATATCAGAAACCTGGCTAAAAGCCTACTATAAATTAAATATTAAAGGCTTTAACATTGTTAGATTAGACTCAGGCAATGACCATAACGGCGTTGCAATTTTAGTTCATAAAAGTATAGAATTCAGTAAAATTGATACATATAGTGATGATTCCTTACAGAATATTATCCATTAAAATATAAAAACACAGAAATGTCAGTTGTGAGTTTTTATAGCCCAAATAATTGTAGTCCACATTTTAACAAAAATAAATTCAGTAATCTTCTTAATAGTATTCCAGAACCCATGTTGGTTGCTGGTGATTTTAATGCTCATCACACAGCATGGGGTTGCTCCATTAATGCTCGCGGTCGTGACATTCTTGAATGTATTGATGGTAACAACTTGGTCCTCTTAAATGATGGTACACCGACTACAGTAGGATCACACAGATGGCAGAGTAATGCGCTTGACCTTACTATTGCATCTCCTTGCATATCTCTTGCTTCAAATTGGATAGTACATAATGATCCCTTAGGTAGCTACCATTTACCTGTAATAACAAAAATAGTAATTAATAACAATTGCACTAGATTACCAGAATCCTTAGATTATCCCAAATTTCATAATTACAATCTTATAGATTGGACTGTGTATAAGAAGACCACAGATAGTTTGTTACAAGATTTTACACTTTACACTTATAGTAATTCACCCCTGCAGTATTATACTAAATTAATTGATATTTTAAATTTAGCTATAGACAAATGTTGTATATCAAAATCAAAACTCATAAGCTCTACAAATGATATTCCTTTTAAAAATAAAAGGATTCCATTACCTTGGTGGAATCAAAAATGTACTCTTGCAGTAGATAACTCTAAACAGGCATATGTTAATTTTAAAAATGACCCATCAGAGGCAAATTATATTGCTTTTAAAAGGTTACAAGCCAAAAAAAAATTAATACTTAAAAAAGAACAATCAATTAGCTGGAATAAGTTTTGTGAAAATTTTAATCGCACCACACCCATTTCCAAAATTTGGAATACTGTTAAAAAATTCAATAAAACTTATGTATATAGTCAGATTTCAAATAATAACTGGATTTCTAATTTTCTTAAAAAATATACTCCTGACACTGTCGAGACCCAATTTAAATCACACATTAATGAAAATAGTAACAAATTAAATTATTTAAATAAACCCTTCACTTTTTATGAATTTAATGCAGCCATATCTACCCGAAGAGATACAGCATTTGGTCTCGATGGCATACCATATAAATTATTAAAAAACCTCTCTTATACCTCTAAAAATATTGTTCTATGTATTTATAATGCACTGTGGAAAGATTCACTTATTCCTTCCGATTGGAAAAAAGATTGTATTATTCCAATTTTAAAACCAAACAAAAATCCAAATGATATAGATTCCTATAGACCTATAACTCTGACCTCCTGCATGGGAAAAATATTTGAGCAATTATTAAAACAAAGACTAGAATTCTACATAGAGAGTAATTGTTTATTCCAGCAAATCAGTTTGGTTTTCTAGAGGTAAATGTGTGAGAGTGTTACTCATCTTCATATTGATATATTTAAAGCACTTAAATGCAATGAAGTTTTGATTGGGGTATTCTTTGATATTATTGGTGCATTCAATAATGTCAATCATCACATTCTCACTCTGGAACTTGTTTCTATTGGTATACCTGGAAAAATTATAAACTGGGTCTATAACTTTTTAAATGGTAGAGAAGTTTTTGTTAAAGTTAACAAGCAGTTAATAGGACCTCGTCTTTCTTATAAAGGTGTGTGTCAAGGTGGAATACTTAGTCCATTACTCTTTATCCTCTACATACACAAACTTAATTTAATTTTAGGGCCACATGTCAGGAATCTTCAATTTGCAGATGACCTTGTTATATACTTTTCAGGCCCAGACATTAATAAAGTTACAGAAATAATAAGTAACTCATTGTTAAGATTAACAGATTACTTTAAATACCTCAATTTAGATGTAAGCCCTGACAAATCTAAAGTAGTAATATTTTCTAAAACTAATAAATCCTACAAAAACATTAAAATATATAATAATTCACAACTACCTATTACTGCTGAAGTTAGATTTTTAGGTGTTATTTTTTGTAGCAATTTGTCTTGGAACAAATATGTTGATTATTTACTAGGTAAAGCTTCCAAAGCATTTAATATTATCAAAGCTCTATATAAATGTGATCCTAAGATCCTTTTAATGCTGTACAAATCCTTGATTCGCAGCCACTTTGAATATGGCTATCTATGTTTTGGTTCTGACCAAAACAAGCTTCATAAACTTGAAGTACTTCAGAATAATAATTTAAGATACATAACTGGTGCAATGAAAACAACCCCTATAAATTCCTTACAAGTAGAGTGCTGTATACCACCGTTAAACCTGAGATTCTGGTAAAAAACAAAGATTCATCCTAAAATTATTATCCTTTTCTGAAGATCCACTCTTACAAAAGCTCAAACATATTACTTCTTTATTTCCCCATTCTAATTCTAAAACAGTTCCCTATATACTTCATGATTTCTCTGACTCAATCAATATTGATCATCAATACAAAATTCACAAAAGCAATAGATTTTGGAATTGTTACCATGGACCATTTGAAAGTAAATTTTCAAATATTAATATTGTAATTGACTCTGAGTTAAGGACCAAACAAGAAGTTTATAACAAGTTGTCTACATTTTCAACTCATCAATCCATATTTACAGACGGTTCTAAAAACGAATCGAGAACATCCTTTGCTCTATACTTACCAAGTATCAGAACCGGTCATGAAACTAGAATACATAAAGAATTTAGTATTTTTTCAGCAGAATCTTTGGCTATTTTAAATGCACTTTGTTATATAAAAGATGATAGGGGCAATTGCAAAAAATGGTTAATTGTCACAGACAGTATGAGTGTTTTAACTTTTCAAAGTAACAAACTACATTATAAAACCAATTATATCATAGATAGCATTAAGCAAATATTATATGAGCTCTCATTGGAGTGTTATGATATTATTTTATTATGGACACTCATCACATATTGCTGTTTTCGGTAATGAAAACGCAGATTTCCTGGCAAGAACTATCACCAACAATGACATTGGCGTTGTCAAGGATGTTGCCATACCTTATTCCGACATTCTTTCTATAGTTTACAAGAATTTTCGTCAAAAATGGATTGAACAGTGGCAACTTTCGCTAAAGACCAAGGGTAATTGGTTTTACTCCATTAACAAAAATATTCATTCCTCACCCTGGTTCACTAAATCTAGAGTTTATAAAAACCGGAAATTTTACACACTCCTTATACGACTTCGTTTTGGTCACGCTAGATTCAATAGTCATTTGTGCCGAATGAAAATAATTGATTCAAATGCATGTCAAGAGTGCAATAACAGCAGTCAGACCCTAAATCACATATTTTTCGAATGTTCCGCTTATAATATTCAACGCTTGGTCTTTATTGATAATTTACTGAACATTTACAAGAAACCGGAAAAAATCCCGCGCGACATCCAAGACATGCTAACTAATTTTGAAACATATATACCTATATATTTATACGTTACCTCGATATCGATAAAACTTTAAATAATTGATACAAGGATATGGACTACGGATAAGACTTAAACTTTGAACACGAATGAAAACATAATAAATAAACATACATAAGAATTGGCCTTTGTGTCACTTGTTCAAATATGAAGAAGTTTAAAATAGACTAGGCTGTACGGTCTAAGGATCTTTGCCTGTTCCATCACTGAAAAGGAGATGGACGAATATGGGAAAAAAAACTTGTCGTTCATCAACGTAGACTAGGCTGTACGGTCTAAGGATCTTTGCCTGTTCCATCACTGAAAAGGAGATGGACGAATATGGGAAAAAAAAAAAAATCTCTGTGGTCGTTTGTCATTCATTATGTCATTGTCACTTTTCAATTCGTATCGTATCCCAGTTTCGTCAATTTTGGTGTCTGCCTATTTGAATATTTTTTATTCAATAATGATTAATTTAATACTATGCCTTGAATATTGTGCTTATGATAGTCGATGTGTATTTGGTGTGAAATAGAATATGTTATCCCACAATGAGTTCAGCGTCAGCCGTGGTGTGCCGTGAGATATTTGACGAAAACAGTCAGCCATCCGCTGAAGGTAAATATATAAAATAAAATCACTCTTCGCTGAAGAAATTAATAAATAGTCAGTAGAATCATGAGATACCACTGCATTCAGCAAATGTTTAATGCTACTGAATGGAAATCTCAAACAGTATAAGTCGAATTATATTCTAGAACAGCAACGATCGATTAAACTTATTGTTTTTAAATATTTATTAATTTAAAAATGTAAACAAACTATATATACGTGGGCTATAAAAATTCGTTAATGCCATGAATATATAATTCTGGACACGCACAGGTACATATCCTAAACACGGGATATAATCTTATTTTTAAACATGGGATGGTGCTGTCGCCTTCTCTGATGGTCTACACTGGCGGCACCCCAATGAACGATGATAGTCTTAGGTTAAAGTTAATGGATCAGTTATTGTTGTCATTGTGGCTAAGTCACCTGGAGTTGGTTTCCAGGGTGACCATATATTCTTGATACCATTAGCAATGGAGCTATTGGTCCCCATTATGAAGTCCTACTTTCTAAAGAAAGAATGCCTAGTGGAATGCAATAAATAATGTTATATTTTGTGTGTGTTATTGAAATTTAGAATAATGATTCCAAATTTAAATAACAATTTAAAATATTTATTTTATTTCCACACTTACATCTATAATATTCAGAAGATATATAATATTGTGTGTTGCTCTTTTTAGTTTTTTTATATAAATAATTACAGTATAACAAGTAAGAGGCCCAACATAGTTCAGATAATATTGTCCCATATTTATATGGATGCTCATATTATTGTATGATTTTGGTCTATATCAATATACTATATAGATTATGAAACACTAGATATTGAATTTGAAATTGTAAATTACTTTCAGTGCAGTGGTACCAAAACTACTGATTTGAGAAATCTTCTTAGTATAAAATCTACTGTCTCTCTTAATAATATTAGTAATAGCTGCCAACTACAGAAGGCTGTAATTCTAAATAAGGTAAGGCCAATATTCATAGCACGTTCAAGTTCAAGTAAAGTTAAGTAAAAATTTTCACATTGGTACTTGGCTTAAGCCCGTACATTGCAAAAATACCAATGAAAGCAGAAAAGAAAAGAAGATTAGTAACAGTAGTACTATTTATTATTTTAGTATAATATTGCTGACATCTACATATAAATATACTGCAGTTACAAAAAAAATATATTCAGTAATTCAGTACTTTAATTTCTTATTATGGTCATAGAGCAAAAATTAAAGGTCGGTAAAATAATTTTTATTATTTATTAGAAAAAAATTACAAATTTCCTACATAGTAATTAAACAATTACAAAATTTATACTAATAATAAAGCTGAAGAGTTTGTTTGTTTGAATACACTAATCTCAAGAAGTACTGGTTTGAATTGAAAAAATCTTTTTGTGTTGGATAGTCCATTTGTCAAGGAAGGCAATAGAAGCAAAGCCTCAGTGAAAAATATTGGAAAAATGGGAAAATATAGGTACAGCTAGTTATTAATATAATATGATCTTGTTCTGAATGTTTCTTGTAATTGCATTGTCAATTAAATAGATTCTCATTTAAATAATTATATCAATAATGTTTTTGAAATAAGGTGACTTATGCAAAATTAAAATCAATATTTTTATTGGCATACATATAAAGATAAGCTTATATTCCTGAACAATTCACACAGAGCCGTCTATTACCACGGCAAGCATAGCTTGTGTTATGGGTTACTAGACAACTGATATAAATACTTAGTTATACTTGTATAAATTTAGGTGTTTTCTATGTATATTATGTATGTATATAAATTTTTTTTTGTAAATACATATACGAATAACATATAGAAACCACTGAAATTGATACAAACAATCATGCTCAGAAATACAAATGTTTGTACCATGCAAAGAATTGAACCTGCAACTACTGGAAGTAAAACAGTAAGCTATATAGTTAAACCACTATCAATATATATAATTCATAAACTGTAATGGAATAAATGTATGTGTCAATTTTATTAGAAATCTCCGAATATGCACAACAACTGGGCATTGATCCTGAAAGCGAAAGTCATCTGCTCCCACTGGCCCGAGATGGTCTCATGCAGGCACTGCCTTCACCATGGAAAGCTTAGTGAGTAATATTTATTTGTTTATTTTATTTTATTTATAGCCTTTGTGCTGATTTGGTTAGGTTAGGTAGTTGGTTTTATTTATTTATTATTTCCCAGCCTAGGTTAATCAGCTTTTCCTAAGACATGGGCCTTCTCCAAAAGACTCCAGGTTCCTCTGTCCAATGCTTTCCTTCCCCATGTTGGTCCCGCCACTGCTCTTATGTCATCCTCTTTTTCTGTCACCCTTGTTTTCTTTTTTTGTTCTCTTGTAGTGAGTAATATAGTTAATATTTTATTATATTAAAGGCATTATCAACTGTAGATGTGGTGAATGCAACACTTGACTTGCCTGCATTTCTTTACTCGCAAGTTGACATTATTGTACTTAGAAGGTAATTTCTTTAATTTTGACTTGTGCAGCAGCTTATAGGCTGTAGAAATCATAGAATTTGCTTACAATATTGAATATTTTTCATAAACTCCTATTAATTACAAGTTTGAATGAGTGAACTAAAAGAGTATGTTGCCTCCATCAATTTAAATTTTTAAAGTCATTGTTGTACATCAAATTCAAAATGGATAGGTGTGTGCTCCAATGAGAACACTCCTTGTGTGTTGCGTTTTATTGTTGCTTGCTGTACGCAAATACTTGTTATTGTTTTCTTTATGTTATTGAAATGATAAGTCATCCACATTAAGTGAACAGTCCTCCTTTTTTTTTCTTTGTTTCTTTTTTTTCTTTCCTGTTGGATAGGGGCATAGCTGCTTTGTTAAGTAATTTAATATCAGTTTCATACAATTCTTGATATAATAAATAATAACGAAATTATCTTTAACGTTTTAGTTATGATGAAAAACTCCAAACACACTACTATTACAATCATGAGACCAAGAACACCCAGTGGGAGCATCCTCTGGACAATGTTTACAGGGAGCTGGTGAAGAGGTCGCGTGATGTGTCTATGCATGATGACACCTGTGCTTCTGTACAGGTAAGTGACATTTGTTCATAATTTTAGGTAATTAAATTATGGGAAATAAATATACCTAAAGACCTTACAATAAAAACGAATATATATTCCGAACTAATAAGAAGTAATAATGCTTTACATAGTTATATATTATTTTCTATTTAGTTTACTTTTCATTATATATCTTATCTAAGTATCTAGCGTATATTGAATGCGTCTATATAATTTAGCTTTTAGGGATACATAGTGTTGGATTACAATCCAGTTATGTATCGAACTACACACTCCTAATTATATTATTGTATTGATTGTAAGCTGTTTTGTATGCTAATAAATAAATAAAAATAATAAAATAAAATAAATTAAACAGAGAAGTATACCAGTGAAATCTCTCCACAATCTTCGAAAATCGTTTATTAACTTACTATGATTTTTTTATTAGGATCTTCCCACCTCAGAGGAGATTACAAAAAATCTTGAACGTGTGGAGACCAAAGTGGAAAGCGAAGATGATGATTTATCAACTGATAGTGATAATCATACAGATATCAAGGATAACGCATCTACAACTTTAGTGCCTGGCATTAAGCGTCTAACTCCTTTGGGACGGCCGCCTCTAGCGCCACTAGGAAGACTGGATAAAAAATTAAGTGATTTACGTATCTCGCCTTTAAGACGAAGTGCTGAAAGCACGCTTTCGAATAAGCCAAAGTTAATGAGGAATACATCTGATAGAGATATTTTAAGTCGACCAACTTTGGAGAGGCCAAAAATGTTGTTCAAACAGCATTCAGAGATTATAGATCTTAAGATGCATGTGCTGACTAGTCCGGAAGATGAAAACTTTAGTCCTCTGCTTGCTGCTGCTAAGGTAGACAAGGGATTACCATTATCAGGTAATAATGGTGAATAAAATGTTAATAATAAATGTAACTAATTTTATAGTAAATGACTAACAAAAAAATTAACTCATGCTCAAATTACAGACTGTGATAGTCTATGCACTCTGTGATACCCTTACTTTTGTTTTAATATTGATAGTATGATATAGTCTATTTATCCTATTGTTATTTTAGGAAAAGGCAGCATGTTCCTCAGGATGAATAAATCAGATTTACCCAGTCCTGATACAGATAAATCTTTACCATTGGAATCAATGACCAAGAGTGATCCTCCTAGAGGTATACTAAGAGAGAAAATGTCAGATGTACCATATAGGAAAGTGGAAACTGTCGCAGGCAGGCAACGCCAAGTATCAAGCTTTGATGAAGACAAAAAGAGCGTAAGGTTAGTCGAGGTGTAAGTTAGTTAGTGTTGGACTATGACAGTCGCGTTTGCAAATAGGTTTGTCAAACAATTGAAATTATTGATAACTTAAACAAGTTTCGCTTTACAGATTCAAGCTTGAAAATCCACCGGAACAAACTGTTAGTCCTGGTTCAAACAGTTCCTCGGAGCAGAATGATGGACAAAGTTCCATTATCAGCGCTGCTCCACCGCCTTTACCATCGCCACTTATACCTTCATCACCGACTGTACCAACACCAATCATCACATCATCATCCACAACTAACCCTGCGATTTTACTGTCGCCATTAGTTTCCAGACCGCCGCTACCTCCTCGACCACTATCAGAGAGTCCAAGAGAAGTTAAAAGTATATCTGGTTCAGAAAAAGAATCTGGGGGTTAGTATGTATATTGCGTAATTGACCCCATTGAATTATTTATAGAGTCGTCTGTTTTGATACTTCTGTCTCACCCATTCCAGTCAGCAATGAGCTACTTTTGAAAGGCAGTGAAATTACAGGAATGGCAATTTATCCCCATAAATTGTCATTTCGTACCACAGGACTAATATGTATATGTATGTTTATTTATATAGGCAACAGTTACCACATATATACTAGTGGGGCCGTCAGCTCGTGTTTCAGCCTTATCAAATAAGAAAATGTTCTTGTCGCAGTGATATTCTGTTTACTTTTATAGATACTTTCTGCTGGATTAAATTCTATAGTATTACAAATCAAATCAAATTGTTTTAGTCTATATCTATTGCTGATATTAGTGTTTGTAATAAACTTAGGTAACAAAACATACTATTAAATTATTACGCACAAAATAATTTACAGAAAGCGATTCTCGCGAAAGTAAAAGTACATCCCCTCGACGTCGCTTGTTACGTCCACCCGCAGCGGATTACATAAAACCAGACCTGTTCCAGAAGAACTTTCAAAAGATATCAGATCTTGTACGACCTGGCGACATAGAAACTACATCGATGTATTTAGAAGAACCGACAATTGACAAAGAGGCTAGACCAAGGTAAAAGTTTATGTTAATACATAGACTCATTTTAATTGTTTTCTAGTTTTTAGTTAGTTTACTTTGGAAATTAGAACTAACATATTTAATGACTTCCAAAATTAACAAATACTAATGAATCTATAAATTTCATGATTCCTTAAATTTAAATGCGTATACCATTATCTATGTATAGAATAAATACAAATTAGTTATTATAATATCAAAATTGCATTAAAAATTACAGATCTCCAATGATCCCACAAAAAAATAAAATATCAATAAATCTCATGGAGAGCATAGAGTCTGAGACATCAATAGATTCCCCGGATAAGGAATTCGCGAATTTGGACTTAAACGATCTTGACGACTCAAATGAAGATCACAGACATGAACAGGCAAATATTTCCGAAACAAAAGACCAGGAAAAAGATAGTGGAAAAGTTAAAGACATTGAAAATACAGATAGATCTGATAAAACAGAACAATCCGATTCTAATTCTAAAGCATCTGTAACTAGTCAAAAGAAACAGTGTGTAGAAAACGTTATACCTCGTATTAAAGTTCCTAATTTAGATCTTTCTGAACAGTCAAAACACCAGAACTCTGATTTAGACAACTCAAAAAATGTTCCAAAAGATGATTCAAAATCTACACCAGTTAGTGTAGAATTACCGAGGACTCCACAGTTGAGAGTGTCTCCTACACCTAGTTATGTATCAGATTTACGATCACCTAGAGAGTTTAGTAATCTTTGGAGCCCTCTATCAACATTTAAACCCTTAAACAAAGCTGTCATCTCTCCACAAATGAAATCTTCTGAATCAGCTTCATGTTTAGGTAAAAATTTAACCAGCCCCAGACTGGATGGTGTTATAATATCTCAAGGAAAATCGAATTCTGATAATGTGGTTGTTGTATATCAATTTGAGACTCAAGAAAACGATTTTCCAAAACCTATAAAATCTCCATTGATACCTGACATGGGTACTAGAGAAATGATAGAGAGGAATAAAGCTGATGAAAGAAGAAGACTAGAATTATTTTTGCAGAAAGAGTTAGAGAGTATTAGGATGGAATGGGCAAGTAAGGAGAGGAGAATGAAAACTGAGTTACAAGAATCCTTAAAAGAGGCAGAGGAGAAGTTTTTGTTACAGAAGAGAGTGAGGCTAGAAGAACAGACAGAGAGACATCGTAGGGAAATGGAAGAGGTAAGTTGTATTTTAGAAGAACATAACAGTAAGTTAATTTAAATTTTTCGATTTACTTATTATAACAAGCTTAACATATTTTTCTAAATATTTTGTTAGGCACTATCAACAGGGGAGCGAAATCATCACCAAAAATTACAAGAACTCACCAAAGATCTGGAGGAACGCTACTGTCGCGAAAGCGAAGCAGCTGAAAAACAGCATTCGGAAAATATGGACCGGCAAAGAGATAATTATCGTGTCAGACTATCTGAGCAACGGGTATTCTTGGAAATAGGTAGGATATATTAGTAATATTATTATTTTTACCTTAGACTCGTATATTTCTATTCTATTTTTAATTATTATTACTTATATGCCACTTCATTTTGTTACATCTAAAGGATTGAAATCCTTGCTTCCGTTAAAGTTATCTGTGGGAGTTAAAAAAACATGTAATTCTTTTATTTTTCTAGAGAATGAGCGAGCACTATCAGATCTTCGAGAACAACTTCAAGCTAGCTTCAACAGAGAGAGAACACGTATTATTGACGAGAACAGAGCTACCATAGAGTCCCTGCGGGAGGAACAGACGTGTGTGTGTGTGTGTGTGCACTGCGCGGGCAGCACGCGTGTGTGTGTGTGTGTGTGTGCAGGTGGAGCTAAAGTCACTGAATTGCGACATGATTATAGAGCTGAGGTGGGTGAGATGCGTGGTAGAAATATCAGTACATTTATAATATAAAAAAGTTATTTTCTTCTTTATTGTATATACATTCTTCGACATCGATCATCATCTATACAAATATATATAGATGGAGAAATTATAAAGTAATTATTATAATAAAATTTCACAGAATGTGTTGTTAAATATGAGTCAATATATAGATCAAAGTGAGTTCGACACAAGGGGGCAATAAATAATTATAGGATTAGTATTACGAGCGTATTATTTATTTTATTAATGAAATTTTATATGGCGTTGAATTTATTGTTATTCGATCGTTGTCGATAGATATAAATGTATACTTAGTGCTGTGTTTAGGGTAAGTGACTTATCACTTAACGTATCGAATTATTATTTTTTTAATGAAATTATAGGTGACGTTGAATTTATTGTTATTCCACTATCGATAGATATAAATGTATACCTAGTGCTCTGCCTTATATATTAATTTCTTAAATCGTAACTTTTTATTCTAGAATATTACTTTTAAAGCTTCATACGAAGTTTCGTAAAATTACGTACGTATAGTACTAGTGTTTCCATTACTGTCGTCGTTCCATCACTGACAGATATGGTATTTTTTAAGCTTACTCCCACCCACAGATTATTTCTGAGCGACCTATAAAAATGGGTAATATTATTTTCCGATAGTGCCACCACCCTATTTAAAATTGCAAACGCTGGCGGCTTAGAGTAATGTCAGATTTGTGTGTGAGATCTAAAAGTAGAGTAGAGTAAACGGTGCGTGTGTAAGGAGCCGCAGTGGTGTGTGGGTGCAGGTGGAGCGGCTGCGCGGGCAGCACGCGTGCCACCTGGAGGAGGTGCGGGCGCGCGCGCGGCGGCCGGCCGCCGACCTCGCCGACAAGTACCGCTGCCTCAAGCACAAGTACGCGCGCCTCAAGCACGACGTCAAGGTGCGCTCCCTCCGCCGCTGACCTTCTCGCCCCGTCTCTGAGGCGGAAACGTCAACCCGTCTTTCGTCGACATCATACCTTCCGTCCCCTGCTCCTATTTCTCAGTCCTGACTATCATCTCCTTCTGCCTCTAATATCGCTATACCTTCCGTTATCAAACCCATACTTCTCAGTCCCGACTCCCATCTGCTCGCACTTCTATCCTAGTTGTGCCTTCCATTCCCTGCTCCCAATTTTCAGTCTCGACTATCATCTCCTCCTGCCTCTACCATCGTCATACCTTACGTTATCTCTTTTCCACTTCTCAGTCCGACTCCCATCCCCTCGCGCTTCTAACCTCGGCATACTTTTCGTTCTCCGTCTCCCATTTCTTAATCTCGACTCCCATCTCTTCCCGTCTCAAAAGCCATTCTACTTTCTGTTATCTGCTCCTCCTGCCTCTAACCTGATTATATCTTCCGTTCGCTGCTCTCACGTCCCAGTTCCGAATCCCATCTCCTCCCCAGCCTCTAATCTTGTCATACCCTCTGTCATCTGCTCCTATTTCTCAAGCCCTTATCCTCTTCCCGCCTCTAACCTAGTTATACCTTCTGTACTCTGCTCCCACTTCTCAATCCCGACTCCCATCTCCTCAGCCTCTAACCTCGTCACACCAAAATATGTGACTATTAAAATCACAAATGAAACGCCATAATTATCTATTTATTACATATTTAAAAATATTTACACCACACTGTCAAGTTATTTCTTTTTAATACCTCTAACTTCTAAATTCCAGATGTCAATAGAACGTCGCAATAAGCGCCGCGAGATGAGCATGACCACTGGATCTGAAACAGAAAAATCCAATTCGCACAAAGCTAATCAATCGCTCGAAAGGTACGTTAGTTTTGCAGCAAAGATATGAAATGATTCATTGAATTATAAACGAGTTAAATTTGCCGACTCTTAGCCCGTTCTCGTTTGAAGCCTATACTAAGCCTATACTTGGTGTTTTATTTTGTGGATGATAATGGAATGGAAACGGGGCACCAGTGGAGGATGATAAGATGAGTATGAGGTCAGGTCAGTTAGCCCGTCGTGACAAATTCGCCAGGAATTTGACACGATGGTTTCCAGGGGGAACCGCGTGGAGGTCGACCTGACATGGTACATTGCTAGCAATGGGGTTATCAATCCACATTACTACAATCCCCTACTCCCCTATACTAGGTGTTAGGATTACAAAGAGTGATATATTTTATCGAATTACATATTACTTTACGGAATAATTAGTAAAAATCACGGGATCTTACCACGTTTTATATTTATTTGTTTTTATCCTGGAGTCTATAATGTGGACTGTAGTTGTGGGAGCTCATACATCGGACAGACAAAAAGAACAATAGCCCGTCGCATTGTTGAACATATAAAAGCTATTAAAAACAACGATCAGCCATAGCGGAACACTTGTTGGGATCGGGACCCAATCACTGGACTGAACTACACCAACCAAAAGTGTTAACATCAGAACGGCATTATATCCCAAGAATGGTTAGAGAGGACATTGAAATACAGAAATATAAAAATTTCAATCGAGAAGACGATTATAGGCTCTCTAATGCCTGGAATCCAGTGATTGGTTTAATTAAAGAAAAACAAAAAACGCGATCGAAAAGTTTATTAAATGTACGTAAAGATAATGTGAGTACAGTTTGCCGAGATGAATATCGAGCGAGTTCCAGTAGTAGCAACAAACGAAGATGTGTGAAGGTAGACGCATATGTCTGCCCATAAAAAGATTTCATTTTCCATCTACCCGCTGCTCTTCAGTTTACCCGTGATCATGGTGGTTGAAACACTACCGAAATATCGGGAACTCAGCAAATAAATATAAAACGTGGTAAGATCCCGTGATTTTTACTAATTATACGTATAAATAATGACCGCGTCAAGTTTAAAACAAATTTGACGATGTGTTATTATAAATGCTTTTTACTTTGATTGCAGATGTAAAGAAGTAAACGAGACATCAGTAAGTGCGGTAATAGAACCCGAACCCTCCCGACACAGAGTAAATAACAACCCGACAATCAAGTACAATGATAATGAAACCTCGCATTCTGACAGCAACGCGCACAAATCTTACAACGTAGATAATAACAACGAAGACTGGAAACATAAGCGGGAAAGCGTGAGTATGTTTTATTACACTAGCGGTCCCAGCTTCGCACGGATGTAGTACAAATCTTTGAATTCCTCAGCTTGTTCTATACAATAACATACATGTATTATAAATATAAACCTTCCTCTTGAATCACTTTATATATCGCTAAAAACTGCATTAAACTCCGTTGCGCGGTTTAGAAGATATAAGCGAACAGACAGCGGCCGCGACTGTGTTTTATCTATACATATAATTAAAATAGGTATGTGTTTGTAATATTGAAATAACCGTTTTTTACTACATGCATATGAATATAAATACGGTACCTACACCAAAATATCATTTTTTACAATTTTTGTCTGTTTGTTCCGGCTAATCTCTGAAATGGGTGGACCGATTTTGACGGGACTTTTCTAAGTAGTAAAGAGTAACTTAGACTATTTTTACTTTAGAAAAATAAAGTAAAATTCCACGCGCACGATGTTTATATGGATTAGATTTGTAATGTTGGAAATGTATTACCGGTTGTATTCGTATGTATTCATAGATAGCACCGTCAGACGACACATCACACACGTCGGCAGTGAAGCAACGACCTCCACGTCGTGCTGCCGTAGCCTTCAAAGAGCCACCCAGACCGCGAAGAGAGAAGCAGAAAGATGCAGGTATGTTTTAAAAATATGAGACTCAAATTAACCTTTAACAGCCTGAAAGCTATAGTGAGGAACTACATAAAGCCTTAATAAAGATATTACTCTTTTATATGAGATTGTACAAGTCAGTCATTTGCAGACCAAAAGCTTGAATGAAGAATGACGTAAATCCATAATGAAGATATTTGTCATTTATCTAATTATACGATCATTAACTTACTTAAACATTCTTTTGTTATTCATTCATTCTTTCATCTGTTTAATTTTTTCAGTAACTTCTTCGTTAATTGAATTGTTCATTAATTTACTTATTCTTTCTCTCGTTTATTAACACGAAGCATACATTTTGGTGCTTTCTGCCTATAAAAATTTGGTATAAAATTAAAAATTCTTTATTGATTTGCTCATTCTTTCGTTCGTTTGTTAAATAACTCAAAGCAGACATTTTGGTGCTACATGCACGACATGCATTTTAAATTAAAAATCGAATTATTATTTTATAAAAACAATTCTATTATTATTTTATAATTAGTAGGTGCTACTACAGACTGCCAAGATTCTTCAGATGCAACGACAGCTGACGACAAATCAAAAGATAATGTCAATGGTGAGTGATTCTTGAGTTTACTTTGTAAGTTATCGGTTTAGTATGTAGATAGAGATATATGTGAAGCAATAAAATGTAATATCCATAAGGTATATCTTCTTTTTTATCCTGTAATTTACAGGATATGAAAGAAGCTATACCTTATCCTTTTTTTTAGACACATACTCTTGCCGTTCAAGAATGGCAATGCATGAGTGATATTACGCGTCACAATATATCTTGTGATATCTGTGGTGCTGTTCGGATATATACTCGATAGTTTCTGCTTTTAAGAGAAAACTCATAAATTTAAGAGTTATCACAATTGGTTGAAATACTCTTTTAATATATTATGTAAATATTTTTTACAGGTCACGGACGTCGAAGGTGTTTCACGAGGTTAAAATCAGCGTCTACGTCTCGTCTGAATTACTCACCAAAGTATGTACTTATAAAATGTGATAATTTTCAACATGTATGGATACTTGGATTCATTCATACTTAATCGTAATTAAAGTGCTGGAGAATTTTGGGTACAGATCTACAAGATCCTTATATTGGCTTAGATTTTATTCTAATTTACGGCGAAGTCGCGATTTATTATTTCGTTTAATGTTATCTATGATATTATAAATATATCTGATTTGTTCTAGGCGCGGTGAAGGGTGGTCAAGTCCCTTAGAATCACTGCGGCAACAGTTGCGAAAATTAGATGATATTGAAGATCAGTTTCCTGATTTTGCGTGCCAATCGGCGTATAGTCTGAGATATCCTTTCGCCGAAATAGGTATGTCATTAATTAATAACTTAGTTATTTATTTATAAACAATTTTTATTACGAATCGTAAGATTATAAATTATAATCATGATTTCTTTAATAATTGCTAGTTTAAAAATAAAGGACCTAAAGTAGATACTTGAAGAACACCCAATTTTTCTTGTAGAATTTCTTCAGACTTTACAATATGATGATGATGTACACATGCACTGTGAAGTGTTGTATGAGATATCATTACTTTTAAAGTTATATTGTAAATTTCATCACATACAATCATTAGTGGAAGAGTATTTGGTGATATACATACTCAAATGCCTACGTAAGATCATAGATAAATTAAGTTCGCATGCCCACCGGTGGGTCACTCCGTAACGAAAGTAAATTCACTCGTTTGGACCGGGTGATCACTCTTGGACATTTTAATTGAAATATATATAGGGGTTAAATAATGTCTACCTCAAATTATTGTATACTAAAAACATATTTAAAAAATAATAAGAGTTTTCAATTCGTTTTTTAACGTGTTAAACATCGGATTATATTTTTACGGGTCGATAGCATGGCAGCTACTCGACCGGCCTTCCGCTTAATTGTAGCGTGGTTGTGTGAGTGGGATTTCGTTTGTTTCTGTTTTAGGTAGTCGTATGGTAAGCGGCGGAGCTTGTGCCGGCTCGGTGAGTCGGGCGGAGCGCGCCGAGCTCGAGTTCGTGAGGCACCGCGCCCTCGTCGAACGAGAGGGCATGCGCCGAGCACGTGCCGCACTTCGTCGTCGTCGCGCCGCACTGCACGTGAGTTACGCCTGCATCCCCTCTTCGCTCCGCACACAATGCGGGTGATTAGTCCGGGGTCTATTTTGCAAATGTTTGATTACATAGTTAGTATTACAGTCGAGTGAACATAGTCTCTTTTCTACTTTGCAAAAAATTGAATAGACTTTTAGTACCGCATAATGAAATAGGCGTACCCCGAGGCGATATATTGGGACCGTTTCAATTTGTTGGCTATATAAAAGCGGTGGAGTTGTGTTGGGTCGTGTGCGAGTGCGGGCGTGAATGTGGCAGGAGGAGCGCGAGGCGCCGGAGCTGGAGGTGGCGCTGCACCGCGCGCGCGCGCTGCTCGCGGAGAAGGACATCCGCCTGCGACACATCGAGCGCGCGCTGCGCCGCCTCGCCGCGCACAACACGCACATCGTACGTCTCCACCATACATCGCATTTATCTCTATATATATCCTGTGGTTTCGTTTCACCAGATTTGTTTATGAACCATTTTGCCAGTAGTAGATATTATTCTTGTCGTTGTCGTTCTCTTCTGCTTTGACATTATTTGGTTTTCATTTATTTTTGCTGTCATTTATGTCTCTTCTAAAATTGGTTTCTGTTTATTGTTGACTCTTGTATGAAACTCGTTACGGTCTTCAAAAGTTTTTTCAATTTCGTATACTTCGTGTACTACAATTGGTTTTTATTATTTGTACTATATCATTTTGCGAATGCTACTTTTGTTGGTTACTCTGCTCGTTATGAAAACTTACTAAGTTATCGACGAAGACATTTGTCATGCTTCATATCATTCTTTAAGTTTTGCTCCGTGATAGTAATAGATTTAAATCGAAACGTGATTAGGAACCGGAGACGCAGGAAGGGACGACTAGCGACGCGTCGTCGGAGAGCGAACCGGGAGACGAGCGCGAGGACCCACACCGGGTGTGACTCACTGCGGGCCCTGCACCACGAGACCGGCGGGGACGACCGCGGGGGGGCCGCCCGCGGGGGGGGGGGCCGCCCACGACGTGCGCGGCGCGCTGGACCACACGGGCGGGGGGCGGGGGCGGCGGCGTGCTGCGCTCACTGCGGGCCCTGCACCACGACGTGCGCGACATATGGCGCGCGCTGGACCACACGGGTGAGTGACACCGGCGGGGGGGCGGGGGGGCGGCGTGCTGCGCTCACTGCGGGCCCTGCACCACGACGTGCGCGACATATGGCGCGCGCTGGACCACACGGGTGAGTGACACCGGCGGGGGGGCGGGGGGGCGGCGTGCTGCGCTCACTGCGGGCCCTGCACCACGACGTGCGCGACATATGGCGCGCGCTGGACCACACGGGTGAGTGACACCGGCGGGGGGGCGGGGGGGCGGGGGGGCGGCGTGCTGCGCTCACTGCGGGCCCTGCACCACGACGTGCGCGACATATGGCGCGCGCTGGACCACACGGGTGAGTGACACCGGCGGGGGGGCGGGGGGCGGCGTGCTGCGCTCACTGCGGGCCCTGCACCACGACGTGCGCGACATATGGCGCGCGCTGGACCACACGGGTGAGTGACACCGGCGGGGGGGCGGGGGGGGCGGGGGGGCGGCGTGCTGCGCTCACTGCGGGCCCTGCACCACGACGTGCGCGACATATGGCGCGCGCTGGACCACACGGGTGAGTGACCTTGTGTTTTGAGTGGGGCGCTCTCTTTTCATTTATGTCCACCTTATTCTCTTCATTTTGGGGGAATTTGGGAAGTAGATATTAAAGCAATTAAGCAGCACTTAGAGTACAATAGAGTATTGGGCAATTGTAATTTCATGTTCGAAGAGTGGATCACTGTCCTTTCTCAGATCGAAGCTGAATTACGATTTATAGAAGTGTAATTGTAGATAGCTGTTAAATATCTAATAAACATTTTCATTAATTCCAGCCTCACCTGAGTCAAGTTCGTGCCAGGTTCCTACTACGTCGCAGGCACGAGTAGCTTTATCTGCTGTGAGTATAATGCACCAGTACCATCATTCCTTATTTCTGATTTAAAACAGCAACAGTAGCGTTTCATGTTTCACGTTTTTAATTTGACAGATTCACAAAGTATATATATTATAATAGAGCGAAATGCCAGGTCCGCCAAACCTGAACGATCAAAGAAATATGTATGATTGAATAATGAATCCACCATCTGCCAATTTGCGAGGTCGCGTTATTATATAATATTCTACCTCAACTCCAGGTTTTTGGCATCCTTATGATTTTGGTCTATTACTGCAAACTCTATATAAAGCGACAATATATGCTAATAATGTATGTAACATTAATAACGTGAGGGATTCATAATATATGAATCACCATTTTGAAGCACTAAACTTTTATGACATAATACAGACTGAAATACAGCTTACGATGCAGTGCAATAGAGTCCATATTTGTCGAACAGACCAACTAATATACGAGTACACTTGTGTGGGGGTTTAAGACCACGGTTCCGTGATAATGATATTAATTGATATATTGATTGATTGATTGATGAGGGGTTCTCGCTAAATAAAACCGCCTTGGTTGAATGCTACTCGAACACTGATTTTTATTACTAAAATAAATATAATGAGGTGAAATGTATTGAGGTGAAATTGCATGTGTAGACAATTGTGTTTTCAACAGTAAGCAGACATGTACGGTTGCCCGTACACTTGTCTATTAAACATACTACATTTGCAGCCAGAGGCTGTCCCTGATGACCACTCTGACGGTGGAGTCGCTGAGAGAGCTAGAGGACTACGCGCTTGGTTGCAAACTGCCCCTTAATTAGGGATGATCGATACTAGAAAAACATCGATGTATGATAAATATCGAATGAAAAACATCGATATGTCCCGTCTAGCGTATCTGATTTTATATAATTTTGCGTATCGAATACTCTTTTACTACACCAGTATGTTTGTATTTGATTCGATAATATTATTGAAGACTTGGGCATCGATGTAAACACATTGATGTTTTATCGATCATCCTTACCTTATTGTTACATCACGGGCTTTGAAAGAAATGTAATTTGCCAATCTGTAGGTATCTGTACCTATTGTTTTCAATGATACTTTAACACTACAATAACTATCGTAGCTTTAGAACTATTTCTAAAAACAAATACATATACTGTCCGTATGTAAATATACGGAAAAAATACAAGGTTAACAGTAAAGGGATGTAATCAAGAGGATTTCTAAATAAATATGCATTGTCACATTAATCTGTGCTAATTTAAAATTAGTTCTTATTTTTTAACTTTTTTATTTATTTTCTTTTATGCCATAAATGGCAACGCACATATTTGTTGGCAGCCAGTTACAAATATAGTTTTATAGAATTGTACAGCCAGTGTTGATATTCATGAATTTGATCGAATCTCCCCACTGAATGAAGTGGAGAAAATGGCGAATGGAGTACAATGAAAATGAGTTGAATAAGAAAAGTTCAAATATTCAGATTGGAACAGCAAATTTGTTTATAATAGTATATAATTGTTTAAACGGACAACAACTTTAGTCGTAATATGGAAAACAGAATCTATTATTTATTGTTTTAATTATTCATAATTTATACGAACCTTGTATGCAGGTTCGTAATTTCTAGTGTTATATAAATATTGTATTTTATTTTTAATCGAGTTCGTTAAATGCACAAACTAACAACAATGTCATGTATGTTATTTATCACAGAACGAAAAGAATGTTAGTTTTAATTTTTTTTTTAAATTTATGATACTGGAATCCTTGTCGCTACAAATATAAATCTACAAATGTTTTTTTTTTATATTTCCTCTTTTCTATTCTGTGATATTTATGTGCATGACGTTTTTGTAATATTGTCTGTTTTTTTAAATAGAGTTTTTATCTTGTGTTCACGATGTGCGTATTATAATTTGATAATCTATACATATCTATATATTAGATTATATTGTATGGTATCTTTGCATTTATGAAATTATATGAAATATTTAGTACTAAATCCTGAAGGATGCGTACAAATTATGATGGCGAAGCCAAAATATCTTATGTTTCGTGCCTATATGCACATCACGACGTAGTCATTAAATGGATAATAATTATAATAATCGAATGATAGACAGATATACAAGGTTAGTGGTATAAGAAATACCAAGAGGAAAGAAAGGAAAGACGCAAAAAATGTACTAGTCAAATTCTAGTGCACGGGTGGGTAATGATTAAATTTATAAGATTGCGAAAGTGTTCTATATGATTGAATGGTTTTGATTTAGCATTTATGAAATTGAACATATTGCCATGAGAGTTAAGATTCAAAATTGAAAATCATTTTTAAATACATGGTACATTGGTAATGATGGAGTTATTAGTCCACATTACTAACAATCCCCTACGGGGAGTAGGAGGGCAAAGGTAATGTGTTCATATGACTCTATAATGTTATTATTCATGCAAACATATGGTAAACTGACCAGTTTATGAAAACGTCAAAAGTTATTTTAATATTTTCATATTATGTTTGTTGATGAATTTTGTACAGTTTTAAATGAATTAATGAATGTATGAAATAAAAAAAACTGTTTATTGTACCTCTAGTAGGAAGAAAAACAATTACATAAACTAATAAGTGTACAAGTATAGAAACAGAATTACAATAACATACAGTGGCAAGGGCGGGCTTATCGCTAAAATTAAAAAATTCTAAATTCAAAAATCATTTATTCATGTAGGACATTTTAGCCGCTTATGAACGTCAAGTTTTTACATTATAATTTTTTTCCCTACCGTCCATACCGATTTAACCTTAAGATGGAGAGGGCTGGTTACTTTGAGTCTAGTCAAGGTATAACAATAATTATAATGCCTCGCGAGGCTTGGTATACCTTTTACAACTAACCTTGTACACTGCTACTAGTTACGTATGAGACACTAAGAATGAGCGAGACGACAATAGTCTGCATAATCGACGCGAGAAATTAAATTTATACTATTAGTAAGGATCAGTGATCAGTCGGATCGTTTGTCTGAGAGAGATGTCAATAGTTCCGGTACTACGTGTGAATGAGATGGAAGTGGAAGGAGTAATGAGAATGTTTTGGTAAAGAATTTTAGGCGTAATGGACTTATAGTTAGAGACTATTTTGCCATAATGGCATTACTGACAATTCCAAAGATTTTTAAACTAGTTTAATTATATATTATGAAATAAGGCACTTATTACAAAACCCTGTCTGTTATGTAGATATTCATGATTACTTATATAAAATGAAGTAATTATTAAAATATGGTCGTGTAATAAAAATGTTTAATACCCGCGAAATGTCTGCGTTAACTGTCAATTTTGAAATAAATAATATATATTAATAAATAAGCCAGGACAAGTCACACAACGCCATCTAGTCCCAAACTTAGCAATGTTCGTACTATGTATAGGCAACAGTTAAAAATACATACATTTTTAAATAATAATTTAAATTGTACATAGAAAATATAATACCCTGAATAATACAAACAGTATATTCATGAATACAAATGTTTGTATGGTGCGTAAATAACTGGCAACAATATGAAGAAAATCACTATGTTAAACCTAGATTTTTTTGCAATATTCGCTATATTATGTATTAACTAACTAAGTAGGTAGCAACTAAACTATTATTACAATATTGGTTTATAAAAGGACTCGCTGTTGCTCTTGGTTTGCTTTTTCCTAATAAGCAGGAAAGGATTTAAAGTATGTCCTATTGAATAGGAAAGGGTATATGCTATAAGGCTATATGCTATATTCCTGCTTTCTAGACTTGGTCCTTTTGACAGTGCTAAGAAGAAAAAATTTATTGTATTAAATAATTAATATTATTTGTTTTTAAAAATTGACAGATAATGCAAATGTTACCAGACTTAGGTAATTAATAATGATAATGGATAATTATCATTATCATTATTAATAGAGATCGGTAATTAATAATGACAATGATAATGGATAATTATCATTATTATTTACTGAAGTCTGGTAACATTTCGGTAACGAATGCTCTTAAATAAATGGGAAATATAATAAATTTACTTGATGATAGAATCTCATATACGTACATCGTGATTAATTGCGTCTAAGTATTTCATTACGGTTACTAAGTATATGTATAGATGGTATAGTTCACCAATATGTTAATTATATAGTTGTCAAATTTACAGCAGCACTGTATCAATATGAAAATAATATAGAAAAAAAAAAAATGAAAACTTTCCTTCCCATTCCGATAATTCTTGTAATTATATATTTGTTTTGATATGGGTGACCATTACTAATCATAATTCTATTGTAATATTTTTTTTTTACCTACATTACAAATATGTAATATAAGTCAATGCAGTCAGAAATTAAATAAAAGAAGTGTTACTAGTCGCAAAATAACTATTAAATATATTATTGACATTTTTAAAGAGAACAAAATAAAACATATTTAACTTTTGTTCCAATTCAACATCTATTCAAATAAAAAATAGAAAAAGTGTTTAAATACTTAAAAAAAAAAACGTACAAACAAAATCATATATTTTATTTTTATATACTTTTGTTTCAAATCGTCATTTGATACAAAAAAAAATAGAAAATTTTATGATTATTACAATTGTGTGAACTAAACCACCTGTATACCAATATTAGATCTAGTCGTAAACCTCTCTTTCTCCGGCATATTTACGTCCCTATCACATCGTATACGATGAAAAGAGATGCCATTATATATCCGGTTTATGAAAGGGCGTATCTACATTCTATGCCTTGCTTTAATTTGTAACTACATTCCTAGACATAAGATTCCCAATGTTTATGTTGTGATAATAAATTAAGTATTTATAATTATTATAGTGTAAGGGCTAGATAATTAGACTTAATTTGAGATTTTAGTGTGAAATTTTCTTTGGTCTTATGAGGACTGTCAACCAGTACCTTTTTACTGCCGACCTCGGCCCTTACTACGCTAGTTCGTGCCCTCCCATAATGTTTTCATATTGGAATATTAATATAAATTATGATATTTACTCATATACTGTACATCGTTGAGTAGAAACGAAAATATATGAGGCTTAATCGAAATTTTGCTCAAAACGTTAGTCAGAAGTCTGTATTAATATTATATAGAGAGTTAATCAAATCAAACCAACAATTATTCATGTAGTACATTTTAGCCGCTTATGTAGGTCTGATTTTCTGTATTAATATATTTTCCCTACCGTCCAGTTCAGTATACAAATTCTATTGAAAAGAACTGGCAAGAAACTCAACTGAATTATTTTTTTATAGTTTGTTTACATTGCATACTTATATAGGTATATGTCTAACATTAAATGAAAATCCCTTGTATGGAGAACTACTGCCATGCACGTTTGTCATTTAATTATTAATTTAGTGAGGGGATTTGCTCAATAAATATGATTTAACAAATGTTTTAAATTTATTTAAAGGTAATTTCAGTATATCTTTTGTATTTCATATCTGATAACTTTTTAATATATGTGAAAGAATAGGCATGGTATTTAATTATAATTATCAATAGAAAACACCGATTACGATACAAACAATAATACCGTGCGCGGGATCGAATCCGCGACCATCCGAGGTAAGGTGGTGTGCTAAACCACTAGACTACTGAGTCCGTCAAGATAAGATTTCGGTATCATGTTTCATCTTTGAAAATGTTGAGCAAAAGTTTGGTTAAGCCTTATATAATAGTTGCATACTGGTATAGGTAGTGGATATATATGTATATCAGTCTGGGAATTCCACTAGCGCTGGGAATCTGGGAATTCCGCTACGTGCTCACAAAATAATTTGTTATATTACGTATGGATCAATTATTTATGGTCGATAGTCAATGTGCTATGTTACATTATATTCTACGACTATAATATTATTTTAGGCCGAGAAAAAATATTGCATTTAAAATATAATGCGTAACATAAGGTAGTGAGGACAGTTTCCATTACTAGTGAGTCCCTAGTACCTGAAGTTTATGTTTGTAATTTCGACGGGACTTTCACTCACTGATAGCTAATCTTATAAGGATTAACTTGTCTACTTTCATTTTAGATATTTTATTTTTTTAATAAAATAAATATTAAATTCCCGCTAACTAATATAATATTTAATCAACAGCCTATTCAAGCTTCTTGCTTTGTGACGTAACTTGACGATTACGATACTTCCAAACAATCTTTCATAGCCCTTTCAACCCCTTACAATGCTTCTTCGCATTAAAAGTAACCTATGTCTTTTCTCAGGGTTTAGAGTAGTCTAGACTGTCTGTGTACCAAATTTCATTTAAATCGGTTTAATAATTTTGGCGTGAAAACGTGACAGTCAGACAGAGTTACTTTCGCTTTTCTTATATTAGTATGGATTAACACATAAGATGTTTAATACACATGCCTTAGTTGTTTATGAGGTACCACACTACTAATAAATGCAAGTATTTTTTCTTGGCCGACATAATGTAGTAGAAATTCTCGCTAGGCGGGTAGACTGAAAGATACGATGTGTTTAGATCATCTCAGGGATTCACTATGTATTTTCTAAGATGTTACAATACAATACAATATTCTTTTCATATATTATCAATATTAATTTCAATCAAATCTTTGATGTCAAAAACAAAGAATTTTTCGACATCATGCCCATGGCTACCTTTTAGAATCGACCGGGAATTCATCCCCACACGCTAGAACCTAAGTAGTCTCGGACAGTGCGGTTTCAGAGGAGCTGGCTCCCGCGTACACTTAGACTGGAATGAACTACCACCCGAGGTTTACTCGAGAGATTATAGCATGGGGTTTTCGAGAAGGGTATTTTAGGAGTTGGCCTTCAGCAGCTTCGTTAGTCCTTCCGTGGGGTTGGAGTAGCATCTGCACACTCCCCCTATCGTCCGGTAAAGTTATAAAGTATTAGAATAGTCCGAAAGAAAGTGCGAAGGTAGACGAATATGTCACATAATTTCTGCTATAGTCTATCATTGTACATAGTGAAACCTTCGAGATGATGTTTGATGGCACTGTGATAATAAAGTAGATTATCATTATTTCATATACATTTGTAGTAAAGTCATTCTTGGCCTATAAATCGGCAGCCAAATGATGTACATGCTCTAAGTTAAAAAATATATGAGCCTCATAAAATAAAATAATTAATGAAAATATTATTTGCATCCAAATAATATTCCTTCAAAATTCATCATTCATTAATTCATATTTCATTCATCATTCATTTATTAATTTGTAAATCATTAATTCATAGTTCATTAATTAATTTATAAATCAATAATTAAACCATAAATAATCCTTTCAAAAATCAATCAAGTATGAATTATTATTATTATATACATTCACAAATAATTCACTCTAATATCATTCTTTCATTCACAAATCAATCATTTATAATTATTCAAAAATAATTCATTTATTTATTCAAAGGCCGCTAAATTTAAGTCTGTCGACTAAAGGCAATTACGAATAATTTTATTATTAAGGTAATATCAATATCCTATTATTGTTGTTACACGAGGAAAAAAGTATAAAATATGTTTATTACCAGACATATACGCAGGATCTAGGCCTCTTTTAGCTTAGAGCAAGTCAAGGATTCTCTCTAATTATTTCATAACATACATTTCCATTTTATATGTAGTTAGTCATACCTTTAATTTGTAGGTGCTGATTGGTGGACGTAATTTTGACTGGTAGGTCATGTCTTTATATGTTAAACCCACTGTATGTTGTAAATTACTATTTCATGATAATAATCAAAAGACAAACACACAGCGCCATCTAGTCGCAAATCATGCAGACGTTGTTATGAACCTATGTTACTGAACAACTGACAGAAATAATAAATACATATACATAAAAAATCTAGATGAATACAAACAATCGTATTCATGAATAAAAAACTTGTATTGTGTAAGGAATCGAAGTAATTACCATTGGAAGGAAGGCGGTGTGTTAAACCCATAGACTACTAAGGCCGTCGTTCTTTCCAATATCAATTTTATGAAATTATTTTAACAATAATTATTGGTTTCTATCTTGACTAATTAATATTGCTATAAAATCTTCAGCACCTAGTTTATTCATTAATTACATTTAAACTTTCTTGTTTAATACACATTATTTATATTGTGAACCGGGTGTTAATATGAATAATTTTATGGTAAATAGTAGCTCGTAGTCAGCTCGTGACCAAAGGAAACTTAGTCGAAACGTCGAGAGGTAAATACTTATATTTACCATACAATTATTCGTGTTTAGACCCTGTTAACAATATAAACAATTTATTCATTGTTTCTAGTTAATTCTACATCACAAATTATATTATATTTAATTTATATGTATACAAATATAAAGCACGAATTGTTAATTTTCTTATAATTATAATAAAAATATACGGAATTTCCTACGTCCAAAGTAATTTTATCAAATTTTATTATTGTAATATATTATTACTAGGAAAATTATTCAATTTTAAATATTATTTATAGCGAGTCGCACCATTTTGTGTCATTTCCCTTAGGTATTTGAATGTATTTTAAGGTAATCATGACATATGAATAAATATGAATTTCAATTATTATGATATTGTAATTAATAATAATTATAATTATGTAAATTACAACAGAAGATACTGTGAATCCGATATATTATTACAATATATTGTTAAATGTTTAAAATTTAAAATGTTAAATAAAACAATATAAAAATTAATACTTATATATTTATCAAATATAAGCTTCAGTTACACGCTGAATTAAAAATTCAAAACAATGTAAAATTTTAATTTATTTGTGAATTTTTGAAACAAAAATCTAAAAGAAACTGTTTTTGTCTTCTTCATGTTACAAAGATTGGTTGTGTGTGAGTGTTATTGGTATCATAAGCGTTCTTGAGCTGCGGTGGCCGCTACCATTAGGCGGGCCGTATACTATTGTTAATAGATAAAAAATCAGCATAGTGTAACTGTCGCTTTAATCAACAGTCGTTCACAACGGTTTCTATCGAAATAAAAAACGTACAAACTTTAAAACTTTGTTTCATTTTAATTAAGTAACGTCCTCTCAGTAGTGTGATCATCTCAGTAGCATTGTTGTTAGAACAGCTGATAAAAGTTTTATTGTACCTGCAAAAGGTAATTTAAAAATGAATCTGTATTATTGTAAACATGTACATTTATTTGAAAAGAATACGAGCTGAGTTTCCTGTCAGTTCTTCTGATCTCGAAATCATTCCGAACTGACGGTAGATTTGACATATCATAAGTCTGTAATAGACCTGCATGAATAAGATATTTTGAATTTGAATATGAATTTAATATAGTGGTAAGTGGCAGAAAAGTTCAATGACATAACATTACTAGACACTTATATGAGATTTTTTTATGTATTTGGAATGGCAAGCATGCTCAAACATCCAATCATTCTCCACTTGTGCCCCGTTAGCTTATACTGTTAGGCAAACAGGAGCACCTTTTCATTATCATCTTTGAAAAAAAATAGTCATATCCAACCAGAATGATTCACCTCACTGTTTACCCCACACCTAACGTGGCGTGAATATAAACAAATTACAATTACCCGAAAATCCTCCAATTATATTAGCAACAGCAGAATTGTACTGTGTCTGTTTTGCTGGCGTTTCATCTTTTGGTACAGCAGATAAACATTTTATTGGCAGAGATGCCTCTGATTGTAGAACAAACGTCGACCAAGATTGCCATAGTTTAGCTGTTGAGTTCCATGCGCTCGAACTGAAGTTCTCTGGGACCTGAAATCAGTTGGTACCAATTAATGACCGTGGTGGTATAGCGGTTTTTTTTTAAAGGATGATAATGGAATAGTGCACCCGCCTGCGCTAACGGTTTACGCTGGCGGGGCACCAGTGGAGGATGATAGGATGAACATGTAGTCAGATCAGTTAGCCCAACGTGACAACATGGTATAGCGGTTTAAGTGCATACTTTTCGATGGTCATAGGTTCTATACCCGGTATATTATGTATGGATTTAGAAAAGTGCACTAGGCCTACATGGGGAAAGGGGGTTGTTTTTTTAATGGATGATTATGGAATGATGCACCCGCTTCCGCTAACGGTTTATGATGGCTGGGTGAAAGGAGATTATTAGAAATGTGGATTGATAATCCCATTGTAGCAAATGTACTATTTCGGGATACCACCACGCGGTACGCCCTGGGAACTAACACCATAAATTCCTGTTGAATTTGTCACGATAGGATAACTTCCTTGAACTCATACTCACCCTGTCATCCCGTTAGCACAGGCGGCACCATACCATACCATTACCATCAGAAAAAAAAAAACACTAGGTCTTCATAGTTTTGTTAGAATCGAACCTGCGGCCATCGCAAGTAAAGCGGTGTTCTAAACCGCTAGACCACCGAGACCATCGAAAATAAACCTCAATACGTTCCTACTAGAAACAATTCTTGAAGAATTCTCCGCCTGCCCCAGAGTTCAGGCCCAAAGTTATACTAAATACTCACCACACGATCGTCAGGGCCTGCAATCCAGGTAAACTTTGGCGGTGGTAGCCCAGCAGCAGTGCAGTTCAGAGTCACCTGACTAGATCCCTTGCTTCTAGTTGCTTCGATTACTGGATCACTTGACGGCACTGTAAAATAGTATGAATTATAGAAGAATTTATTTGCAGGAAAACACGGTAAATATCTAACTGATCTTATGAAGAGAATTCGTCAATTTATAAGGGTATTTATAGGAAAAGTGCATGTATGTTTGTTGTTTTAAATAAATATATTGTTAGGTTTCTTAGACCCAATACTCAATACTCTATATTTATTGTATTCCATAATAATACAACGAAAGATGATCATAATTGATTTTAGATCATTATGGACCCTGTTAGAGCACGCAAACATAACATTATTATTATTATGACTAACTAAACTATAACATATAATTTAATATTATTCATACATTTGTTTATGTATTATAATATGACATAATTAAATATTACATAAAAACTAAACTATATCATTTAAATATTCGCTTACATTACAATACTGAGACCCTCCGAAGGACAAAAACCTTTCAAATTTAAAATAGCTTAAAAAGTAGGAATTCGACTTAGCTTTTTTACAAGTAGTCACTAGAAGCACAAATTTATTTAAGCATGACCATAAACATAAATAATACAGACATACGGCGCTAGATGGCGCTGTATAAAAGTAAAACTCGACTTGTTTTCGTTTTAAATTAAAGTTAATGAAACTATTATTAATTTTTAATATCACTTCATAGGTGTGTAAATAGTTCAGTGAGTTGTAAATAATATTGAAACTGGAATCGGCTACTATTTATTGCCACGATGGACTCAGTTTAATTCACTTCATCATCCAGGCAGTCATTGCTCAGGATTTCATGTTATACAGTCTTGTATTTTTCAATGTCATCGTTGGTATAAAGCCACTGAATAATATCTACAAGTAGTAATCAGTAGTTTACTAGTTGTGAGAAGAAATAACGGGAAAATTTATAAAATATACAGATACACGCTGCCAGATGGCGCTGTACAAAACTAAAACTCGATATGGTTTCGTTTTGTCCGATAGGTAACTAGTACGGAAGTTTCAATTCAGATGTGTAATTAATACTAGACTATATAGATAGAAATACTTAAATACAAGTTTTTTGAAACCGGACTCAACTACTAGCTAGTTTCAGTCGGTTAGTAAAGCAAAAATAACGATAGTCGCTGTACAACTACGTAGTCGTTACTATAATATCGTTCGTTACTTTTGATACATTCGTATTTAACAGCTACCATTTATTTTAGACTGAAACTGTTCTAGTGGCGGGAAGGGGATTGTTAGTAATTTGAACTAATAAACTCATTTTTTTAAATAGTTGTTTTTAGTGGAATGTTGCCTTCGTCTACGATAACAACTTACACTGGCGGGGCACCAGTGAAGGATGATGACATGAACATGTGGTCAGGTCAATGAGCCCATCGTGACAAATTCACCAGTACTTTATCACTATGATTTCCAGGAGTAACCGCGTGGAGGTCAACCTACCTTGGTGCATTGTATTCTCAAAATCCCCTTTCCCACCTAATAAACCCATTGCTAGCAATGTACCATATCAGGTTGACCTGATCACGGTTCCCTGTGGAAAACATCGTGGTAAATTGCCATTTGTCAAGATGGGTCAGCTGAAGTGACTTCATGCTCATCTTATTATCCTCCACTGGTACCCCGTCAGCGTAAATTGTTAGCACTTTCCTTTATCATCTACTAGCACCCGGCTTCGCACGGATGCATTACAAATATTTGAAATTTTCGGCTTGTTCAATACTATAACACGCATGTATTATACACATAAACCTTTCTCTTGAATCACTCTATCTAATGCTAAAAACTGCATTAAAATACGTTGCGTAGTTTAAAAGATATAAACTAACCCACAGCGCCGATGAGTTTGTTTTATATTCTACTAGCTATGTCCGCGCTGTCACCCGCGTGTAATTAAAAGCTTATATGTTATTCTGATATATAAGCTATATTACTGTAAAGTTTCATCAAAATCCATTCAGTATTTTTTGCGTGAAAGAGTAACAAACACCATCCATACTTACAAACTTTCGCGGTTATAATATTAAGATTAATAATATGTAAAGATTAATATGTTTTATATAAAATTTACCTGTTCTAACCAAGGTGTAATTGTCATGGCCCACCATGAACTTAGGTCCCTCCCCTGATACCTCGCATTTGAAATCAAAGTCATTGTTGGTAAATTCAGTTGGCACTATCTGTAGAGTACATTGTTGGATAGCCTCCTCGCAGTTTATTCTTAAGAAGTTTTCTGTCAATGACCAAACTTTGGAAGCAGTCGGTCCATGGTTCTGTAAAATAAAGATCAACATGTTTAATCGTATCCCAAATCAAGTACGAAGAAGTATATTACGATTCTGAACCACTTTCACCAAAAAACAAAATGTATATTTACAAGGTACGATATTCTATTTATTAATTTTTCTTTTAAAAAACACACTGCCATATCCACTTATGTTAGTGGATGCATAACAAATATTAAAATAGCTGAGAAATTGAAAGATTTATAATGCATCCGTGCATTAATTTTTTTTTAATTTCTCGGCTTGTTCTATACTATTATAACACGCATGTATTATACATCTAAACCTTCCTTTTGAATCACTCTATCTATTGCTAAAACTGCATTAAAATCCGTTTAATAATTTAAAAGATATAAGAATAAGAACAGACAGCGGCGACGATTTTTTTATACACTGTAAAGACATTCTTAAATAAAAGAGAAGTCGGATCAAACTACTAGTGATGGGTAACATAATGCAGTTAATAATACAGCGTAATTAGCCGGCACGTGTCACAATAATATTCTCATTTTTTTAAACGAAACAATGTCAGTACAATAATGAATACAACAAACGTTAATTATTTTTTTGTTCGTCCGGAAATGAACGAATTGTATGTTATAAAGTAGATACATTTTTGAGGGTCGACGGATGCTAAATTATGGACGCTGCGGTCACAGATACGCCGTGATAGGTAAACGCTTTGGTTTTGTGCATAATAGATTAAAAAAAAGTTATGTATGTGTTTACTGAGATGAACCAATGTAAAAAATCGTCTGCGTAAGTAATATCTCACCTATTTCAGCTGCTAAGCAGTTTCATTTGTAGATAAAATTTGTGCTGTGCATAATAGATTTAAAAAACAATTATATATGTATTTACTGAGATAAACGTTGAATTAGAAATAGAAATAATCTTTATTCAAATAAACTCATTACAAGCACTTTTGAATAGTCATATTTTGATTCTACCACTCATTCGAAATGCAGATTCATCACAAGAAGAATGAGCAAGAAACTTGTGTGTTGCACTTTGGAATAGATGTTTTTTTATATAATAACTAGCTGTCCCAACAAATGTTGTTTTGCCTTAATTATAAAAAAAAGAATTAGGGGTGGACTACCCCTAACATTTAGGGGATGAAAAATAGATGTTGGCCGATTCTCAGACCTACTCATTATGCTCACAAAATTTCATGAGAATCGGTCAAGCCGTTTCGGAGGAGTATGGGAACGAAAACTGTGACACGAGAATTTTATATATAAGATTACAGTATAACAAGTAAGGGGCATGCGATAATCAACATAGAAATCTCTACACATTCATTATTAGTGTAATCGTTGTAAAGTTGTTGTAAGTGTTGTAAAAAGTTGTAGTAAGTGTTGTAAAAAATTGTTGTAAGTGTAGTAAAAAGTTGTTGTAAGTGTTGTAAATGTTGTATAAAATTTGTTGTAAGTGTTGTAAAAAGTTATCTGCGTACTTGAGCCTCAACTATTTCAGCCGATAAGCAGTTTGATTCGTACGATATGTTTTCGTTTTAGATCAAAGTCAAAATTGTTCACTTACATAGGACACTTTCGGCAGTTTATGTATGTTAATTTTTTAATATGTATATATTTACAAAAACAATGTATCTATGTTATTTATATTACTAACCGGGTCTTAACACGAATAATTTTATGCCAAATAAAGATTGCACTAGCCGTGGTTACGAGCAGACCACGGCTAGTGCAACCTAGTCAAAACGTCGAGATAGGTAAATACCTTTATTTGCCATAAAATAATTAAATAAATAATGTATATTATACACGAAAGTTTAAAAATTATTAATGTAATGTATGAATTTCTATCAGATGTCCCATACCCATAACAAGCTCTGCTAAGGTTGGGACCAAAAGGCGCTGTGTGAATTGTCCAGAGATATTATTATCACAGATTACGTAATATTACATATTATTACTAGCTGTCCCGGCAAACGTAGGTAGTCCACCCCTAACATTTAGGGGGATGAAAAATAGATGTTGGCCGATTCTCAGACCTACTCAATACGCTCACAAAATTTCATGAGAATCGGTCAAGCCGTTTCGGAGGAGTATGGGAACGAAAACTGTGACACGAGAATTTTATATATAAGATATCCTATAAATGAACAGTACTATAATAAATGGAGGGGGGGGGGGGGGAGATTGTTAGTAATGTGGATTTTTGACCCCATTGTATGCTTGAGTCGACCACCATGCGATTTCCCCTGGAAACTATCGTGATGAATTCCAAGTCTAATTGTGACTTTAGTGAAATAGATTTATTCTCCTGTAAACTCTCTTCTTTCAAAAACCAAATAACTAATGAACTGAGGCGTAAATATCATTTTTCGTAACTAACATAATAATTATTTGTAATATTGTAGTCTACAGTGTATTCATCTTAAAATTTTCAGTTTTCTTTGTATTGTTAATATAAAATAGTTTTGTTAAGAGTTGTTAGTGGTAGTTAATTAATTAGTAACATAATCTCTGTAACATGCCTTAGGCAGTATTGTATAATTATAGTAATCAGTGGTTAACGTAGTGGGTTACACATTTGTTAAAATTGATTAGTAAATAGCCATAAGTCATATGTGTAATGTGTAACTGTTTGTTGACCTAAATAAATGAAAAAAAAAAAAAAGTCGATTTATCACGATGGGCTAACTGACCTGACCTCATGCTCATGTTATCATCCTACACGTGCCTGGTACTATAATAATCACATCGTTATTTGACCATCACATATACCCCTCATGCATTGCAATCTCCCTTATGTCCCCTATGCTATAAAAAATACAAACATACCACAGGTCTATATATCATAAATTGTCTATCATTCATAAACAGGTTGACTGACTGAAGAGAGTCCCCTCCACTGAAGTTCCAAGCGCAGGTCAATTTCCACCCCAAATCTGGGACCCACTCCTCTGTTATATGAACATTTGTGGTATTTGCTATTACTGAAAAAAAAAATGTTGATAACATAAATAGAGGTCAAAAATAGCGTCGGTGGTCAAGCGGTTCAGCACACCACCTTACTTGCAATGTTCGCGGGTTCGATTCCGGGCACGGCACAAACATTTGTATTTATGAGTATGATTGTTTGTATCGGTCTGGGTGTTTTCTATTTGTAATATGTATGTATTTAAGAAAAGAAAATCTATGTATTTGTATCAGTTATCTAGTAACCATATCATAAGCTTCAGCTAGTTTAACTTGGGTCTAGATAGCGCTGTGTGAATTATCCTGAGATTATTATAATTGCAGTTTTGATTTACTTTGTTGGTCGCGCGCTCGATTCCTCGCTCGATACAAACATTTGTATTCAATACTATAGATGCCAAGAGTTTAAAAGTGCATTTTACGTTATTAACGGTTAATTAACCGTATTTATGCTTGGCACTTTTAGAAGCTACTTTAATATATATTTAGTGATAACATGTTAATTTGAAATTACAGATAGACACTTCAATTTTTAGTATTTTATTAAATAGAATTATCGATAAGCAATAATAATTGAGCAGACACGGTTGACGGATCAATTAGTACATTATTAAAAATACACACTTTTCTTTTATAGTCTATTGTTTTAATAAAACAACAGACTATAAAAGGATCTGCAGACCTTTCTATAATACAAAGATCCCCTTGCTTTATTTTTTAAATTAGACAAATTACCAAACGCCGCTTAGAAGGAAAGACGCCATCATAACTCATTGAATCTGATTACTCATAAGTATATACGCGTTATTGTTAACTGAGAAGGGACGGATATGTTTCTAGTTATTAAAAAGAGTTTTTTTTCATTTATTCATTACTAGCTGTGAAAATATATATCATTCCTATAATAAAACTAAGTTACTAGTAAGCTATTTAAAAGAAAAGTGAAAATTGCGTCAAAATCGGTCAAGCCGTTTCAAAGATTTGCAAGAACAAATAAACAGACATATTTTTTTTACATAAGTACCGTATATGTAATATTTGTGCAAAGCTGTTATTTCGAAATTACAAACAGACACTGCAATTTTATTTATTTGTATAGACTGCCTCGGTGATCGTAGCCGTTAAGCTCACCGTCTTATTCGGATGGTCGCGGCTTCTATTCCTCGTCCAGTATATTTGTATTTATGAGTATGTTTGTTTGTATCGGTCTCGGTGATTTATATGTATATTATGTATGTATTCTATCTAAAAAGGAAAATATCTGTGTATTTATATCAGTTACGTAGTACCCATAATACAAGCTCTGCTTACCGTGAGACTAGATGGCGCGGTGTTAATTGTCCAGGGCTATTAATTTATATCAGTTGTCTAGCACCCATAACACGAACGTTGCTTAGTTTGGAACTAAAAGTCACGGCGACTTCTAGTTCCAATCTAAAATGTCCTAAAAAAGTCATGTTTTTTTCGGAACCTCATATAAATTGTATGCGATAATACCCATGGCTCTATATACAATATACATATGTATGTGTGTCTTGTCTTAAATCTTAGAGAGTAGGCTTAATTTGCTCAATTGGGCAGTCGTGCGCTCCTTAATACTTTAATGTACCATATTTGGGACACTTACATGACATCCGTAGACGTATTTTGAACGCGGAAATGTATTTACTTTCGTTTGTACGTTCATCATTTTGAGCTCCCGTTTATTTTGAATTTTTGTAGAAAATTCTTAAAATTTATAGAATAGAATAGAAAATCGTTTATTCAAATATACTTAATTTAAGCACTTTTGAATAATTTGTGGAATCGAACTCGAGTCGAACCATCGGACGTTTGGCGGTGTGCTAAATCGCTAGACCACCGAGGCCGTCAACTATACTATTAAAAAATGCTTTAAAAAATCTTTATTCAAATAAACTCAATACAAAGTTTATTTGAATAAAGATTTCTATTCCTATATTTTTTTAGCTAATGGTAATGTTAAACAAGGTGACGGTCCACCTGATGATCCTAACTCCTTAGTAATATTATAAATGCGAAAGTGACACTGTCTGTCTGTCGCGGATTCACGACAAAACTACTAAACCGATTTAAATAAAATTTGGTATACCTATTGTCTAGACCACGGCTGGACCATTTCATATTCAAATTCTAAACATAAACAGCGACCAAGATCAATACAAACAATCATACTCATGAACACATGTATAATCGAACCCACAACCATACGAATTAAAGAGTGCAAACCGCTAAACCATCGAGACTGACGCGTTTTATAACAAGTAGGTACATCTATTTAGTTAACAAATGTAGTTTTAATATCACCATCAAATATAACATTGTTATGTTGTCTGTTATGGACCCCACAGTGTAATTGATTTTAATTGGACCCTATTAAAACAAGTTGCTTGATCAATGATCTCATGATGTGACTTGTGAGAAGCAATGTGCATCACTTATGACATTATCTGCAACGGTACTGTAATATAAAACCCTTTAGCTTAATTATATCATTTTTCGTTTTGTAATTTTCAAAAAATATATCTATGTACATGTTTATATCAGTTGTCTAATACCCATAATTAATTAATGGATTAGTATTACTTTATTTAATAAAATAACAAACGTACTAACAAGAAAATAAAATTATTTTTTATATATTTAACGGCTTGGCATGGGTATACATGTATTATATATATAAACTTTACACTAGAATCACTTTATCTATTTAAAAAAACCGCTTTAAAATCCGTTTAAAGATATAAGCGTACATAGGGACGGACAGACAGCGACACCGACTTTGTTTTATACTATGTAATTATTTATAAACTTGTTTAAAAGTTTGTTTACGATTTTATACTGGTCCCAAGCTAAGCAGAGCTTGTATTATGAGTACTAGAGAACTTATGTAAATACTAAGATATTTTTTTGTAAATACATACATAATATACATAGAATACACTAAGACTGATTCAAAGAATTATACTCATGAATACAAACGTTTGTACGTTTGCGAGGAATCGAACCCACGACCGTCGGAAGTAAGGGGTGCGCTAAACCGCTAGCCCACCGAGGCCCGTAAGAAATACTTTAGTTTTAGTTTTAATCAGTTATTTTAATTTTGTCTGTTACATTTATTATTTTCATTTATGTGTTCCACATACCACTTCCTGTGTCACGCTGTTTTAGGTTGACTGGAAGAGATTTCTTTTATATATAGATTCTCCTTTGCTAACAAAATTTTTAATACGTGTTTGAAATCTTGTATTTAAAAGTGCAATCTTATAAATATTATAAACGCGAAAGTTTGTGAGTATAGATGGATGTTAGTTACTCTTTCATAAAAAAACTGAACTGATTTTGATGAAACTTTACAGTAATACAGGATCCGAATAACATACAGGTTAAATTCACGCGGATTAAACTTTGTTACTCTTTCACACAAAAACTACTGAACGGATTTTGATGTAACTTTGCAGTAATAAAGCATCATCAGAATAATATATAAGCTATAAATTTCACGTGAAACCACGGGCACAGCTAGTAAACAATATAAATACGCGGGAAATTTTGGTACTCACAGAAACTATTACTTTTACGTACTTACCAAATAAAAAACATAGTAATATAACTGATGTTAGAAATCCTTTTTCCGCCATCACTGATAAACCCTTTTATGGCACATAAAACATTTAATAAAATATATACATGAATTCAAATTTGTATGTCTGTCTATCACCGATGCATAACAAGAACTATTTAGTTTAGTACGGATTGACGGCGCGCGCGCACTATTGCGTTGATTAAAGTACGTACGTGCTATACATGTGCAACCTATTTTTATTTTAAAGAACCCATTAACTTAACTTTAAATAAACTAATAATTTGAAAAAAGAATTCTTTATTCCGGTAAGTATTTTGTAAAGGAAATATTAAGATAATAGAGAAATAAAAAGAAACACTTTTGAATAGTCATAACTTATTTTTTTTACCTACCGCTCATTCGGTCAAAGCTGTCTCTTCACAAGAAGAACGAGCAAGCAACTTTCGCGTTACTTTTTTAACTAATTTAGTTGTAATTTTGAATTTTTAAGTTGAAATGTATAAATACAAACTACCAATTAGCTCTAATTCATTATCATAATAATAAATGACCAACCGACTGGTTGAGTAACTAAATAAGATTAACGGTAGCTTTGTTAAATCGTTACCAATTACATTTAACCAATATCCTGTTGTAGATTTTTATTTATTTTTATTATATGTGTGTCATATTAAATTGATAGATTTTTTTTTCTTTATTTGTTTTGGTGCTTGGGATCACAAGATCATAAGATGTTAGCTCCGTGATAGCTTCTAAATCGAAGCATCTACATCCACTAAGTCCAAGGACTTGATCGAAACAAATGCAGACCTTATAAATTCCTGTTGAAATTATCACGATGAGCCAACTAACCAGACCTCATGACCATATTATCATCCTCTACTAGTGCTCCGTCAGCGTAGACGGATGCACCAATTCATTAATGCGTGAATTAAAAACCCCTCATACATTGTCATTACAAATAATTATGATGTTAGGCATCAGTATTACAATTTCACTGCCAAATCTCACCATTGAAATGAAACAGCTTACAAAGTACAGCTGTAGGCTGTTTTAAACAGTGAGATAGAGGTATGCAAATGACTTTATACAAAGACTACCTCTGTTCTCTAAGCAGATATATGAACGACTGTAAAGTCATAGTCACAATAGACACGTCGTATTCATCAGGCAGGAGTTGGCCTTCAGCCGCTCCATAAGTCCTTCTACGGTTTTGGAGTGCTATCTGCACTCGCCCGCTATCGTCCGATGAAGCTGTAAAGGCCAGCTGCGGTCAACAGCATTATAATAGTTCGAAAAAAAGTCATAATAATTATAATTTATTCAGCATCATAATACAGAATAAAAATATAGAAACTTAATAATTAATATTGCGCTATGAGCTGAAAGGGCGTTCACTCAGCTTGTGCTGCGGCGCGTCGCTGCAGCGCTGATTTTCAGTGAAGCCACTCGAAAAAAATAAATAGTCGCGCACAATAATTTAATGCATGAACTATAATAAAACTTATGTTGTTGACTCTACATCTTATTATTATCTATTTAACATTTAAGATATGTAGTAGTTATGTTAGGAATATAAATATTTACGACCTTAATCCAAGATGGGGTAGTCTTGAGAAAGTAAAATCGGCGACCTCGGTGGTCTAGAGGTTTAACATACCGGTTCACTTCCGATGGCCGCGGGTTCAATTCCTCGTGCAACACAAAGATTTTTATTTATAAGTATGATTTTGTTTGTTGGTCTGAGTGTTTCCTATGTATACAACGCATCTAAGGATTTGTATCAGTTGTCTAGCACCCATAACACAAGCTCTGCTTAGTTTGAGACTAGTTAACGCTGAGTCCAGGGATACATGTATTATACATATAAACCTTTCTCTGGAATCAATATATTTATTGCTAAAAACTGCATTAAAATCCGTTGTGTAGTTTAAAAGATCTAACCGAACAGACAGCGGACACGACTTCATTTTATACTATAACTAGCTACTCGCCCCGGCTTCGCCTGGGTGTACATGTATACATATAAACCTTCCTATTGAATCACTCTATATATTATAAAAAACTGTTGCGTAGTTTTAAAGATTTAAGCATACATAGGGACGGACAGACAGCGACAGCGACTTTATTTTATACTATGTAATGATAATAATAATAATCTCAGTGCAATTCATACAGCGCTATCTAGACCCAAGTTAAGCTAGATAAAGCTTATATTATGGGTACTAGGTAATTGGTACAAATATATAGATTTTTTTCATAAATATATATTATATATAGAAAACCCAGACAGAAACAAACAATCATACTCATGAATACAAATGTTTGTGCCGTACGAGGAATCGAACCAGCGACCATCGGAAGTAAAGTAGCGTGCAATACCGCTAGACCACCGAGGCCGTCAAATACTATATAGAGATTTCGTGGTGTATGTTTATTTTAGAGGATTTAGTATTTAACAAGATGTTTTAGTAATACTGTTGAGAACATCTATATTTGTATTCATGTTTCGATCTCCTGTCAATACAACTAGAGTGCATTGTAATCGATGCATTGTTGCATTGTTATAGCAACAAAGGCTTTTTAATATGATACCTCTGAATTTTGAATATACTAACAAATTCATGAATGACCTTTTGAATAATGATCTGATAAGTTCATTTTGATGGCCTCGGTGGTTTAACGGTTTAGTACACCGGTTTACTTCTGATGGCCACGGGTTCGATTCCTCGCACGGTGCACACATTTGTATTCAGGAGTATGACTAGTTGTCTAGTACCCATAACACAAGTTCAGTATTCAGACGTTTCGACTTGTAAATGTAAACTTACAAGGATTATTTAATAGAGCAACACACAAGTTTCTTGATCGTTCTTCTTGTGATGAGACAGCTTTCCGAACGAGCGGTAGATAAAAAAAATTGTTATTACTATTCAAATGTGCTTAAATTAAGTTTATTTAAATAAATGATTTTCTATTCTATTCTAGTCTGTTCTATTCGGTTTACCGTGGGATTACATGGTGGCGTGTCAATTGTCATCTTCAGTCATCTTTTATCCATTAATTACGTGAGGCTTGAAAGGGAAGAGGGGAGATTTGATAAAAATCACGAAATATCACAAGGGGGAGAGGGGTCTAGTAAGATATCACGTGTATTTATTTTATGCCAATCATAAACAATCTGCAACCTTTCTGTCTAGACATTTTTATCATGGGCCTTAATTTGAAAATAAAATAAGATTATACTTTATACCTGTATTTAAAGATAATATTTAAAAAAATTTAAGATTCTTTGTAGGTACTAAAAATACACGTGATGTTGAGTGGGGGGGAGGGGGGGGGGGAGTTTTGAACTTCACGTAGGGGGACTCCAAGGGGGAGGGGGGGGGGGGTTAAAATGCTTAAAAAAAGATCACGTGATTAATGGACGGCCCTTTACAGAGGCTGCATTTACTTCCTTATATTTTGCAAGAATATGTCAATATATTTATCATTGCCTTTGTCTCATTATTTGGAGTCGGAGCCATATGTCGTCTTATGAGCTCTATCGGTCGTCATATCTGAGCATACTCTCCTTTTATACCTTACCATCAAGTGTGTTAAAAATATTATTTATTGTATCTAATGAACCGATATAAATATAATTTGGTACACAGATAGTCTAGACCCTGAGAAAGGACATAGGCTACTTTCTAATGGGAAAAAAGGTTCGAAAGGGGAGATGATAGGTTATATGGAAGTATCGTCATCTTTAAAGCTAGCTGTAATAGCTAACTAGCTACTCGCTCCGGCTTCGCACGGGTGTACATGTATTATATATATAAACCTTCCTTTAGAATCACTCTATATATTAAAAAAACCCGCATCAAAATCCGTTGCGTAGTTTTAAAGATTTAAGCATACATAGAGACTGACGGCGACAGTGATTTTATTTTATACGATGTAATGATGATGTTTATTATATGTTGAATATTAATTATTGTAGTAATAAAATTGAGTGCACCTTCTTAGGTGCAGAAGAAACTTCTGCTAGCTGAAGATTGTAAGTACGTGTCTAAAGAAATATTAAATCGACTACCGTTCAGATATTTGGTATTCTAGAAAGTTTTAATCAACAGATTGTTAGAGGAGATGCGCGCTTTTTCTCCCCGGATACCAAATAGCCTATAATCAGTCAGGCTGTCTCCATTCAAACCCCGATACTACGTGTGCGTTGAATTATATAACTCAACATTTCACAAGTATTCGGGAAAGTTTTTCTTCAGTCATGTTTATTTAAGAGATACTCCTATTTTTGGATATTAAACTCTATTTATATGTACAGTTAGGAGCAATCTGGTTCCCGTATTAAATTAAAAGCAATATAGATGTAGGAAATTTTAGCTATTTGTAATAATAATAATATCTCATCACAATTCACACAGCGCTATGTAGTCTCAAGCTAAGCAGAGCTTGTGTTATAGGTACTAAATAGATAACTTATACGGAAATTTACATACATATACTAGTGAAGGATATGGACAAGAAATAATTTGGGACACGAATGAAAGCAATAATGAATAATTTTACAAAATAATTGGTCATTGGCCTCACTAGTTGTGCAAGTATTAAGAAATTTAAAAGCAGACTAGGCTAATTACGGTCTAAGGATCTTTGTCTGTTTTATCATTGAAACAAAGATGGACAAATAAGGGGGAATAGAATGAACTGGAGGGTAGCGAAGAGATATTAATACAAAAAACTTGACGTTCATAAGCGGCTAAAGTGTCTTACATGAATCAATGATTTTTAATTTTATTCGATTTGATTTATAAATACAAATTTCTGTACTGTACGAGGAATAGATCCCGCGACCATCAGAAGTAAGATGGTGTACTAAACCTCTAGACTACCGAGGCTGTTAAGTTTAAAGTTTATTTAAAGAAAAGTTATAGGAAATTTGGTAAGTGGTAATAGATTATATCAACTTAGTTAAAACAAAAATGTCTCACAACTATTTGAACCTGTATACTTTGATTATTACCATATCAGAAAGGCTAAAAGGGTCGGTAGCTGAGGCGTGAAATTACCGCCTTACGGCACTCCCATACTCGGTGACTTGGCAGTTCTGCGTAGTGACGGGTGGCAAATTGGGGAAATA